ACAAAGGACTGGTATGGAGGATGCACTCAAATGTATTGTATTACTGGTAACTATCCCTACGAAATAGCTCATCCAAAACATATTAGCTAATTATTTGCTATTGCAAGTTATCATAAATCAAATGCCTATCTTGATTTAAGTGTCATAAGCAATGTCTGAGCCTTAAGTATGAATAGCCTTCCTATATCTTTCCAAAACTTATTTTCAATTTTCATGAGATGAGGAAGACAAATAATTACCAGTTCTTCTCATCAAACTGAGGAGATCGATTGCCTAGCTAAAGTGATTTAAAAATTGCATTCCGTCTCTGGAATTACTTTTCTTCCAAGTTCATTCATCATTAAATAAGGACAAGATTATGTCAGTAGGTTCGTAGTGCTTTTTATGCAAACCCACCACTTCGCAATGTGCTTTGCATGACTAATTTTGAGTACGTATATCCTAAGAACATAAGATGTTTTAGAACAGGGAAAATGCCATTAGACACAAAAAGTGTGTCCTTTTTGGATCTTAATATCAGCTGTGTAGTTTTTTGTCTAAAGTTAATTAGAAGATAAGAATTTTAATAACTTTACCCTGGTATAATTTCCAATGCCACAATTACATCCTTCAATTACTTCCCTTTTCAGCATTCGATACGGTCGACCCACGCTATCCTCCTCCACCACTTGTCCTCCCACCTCAACCTTCAAGGCCCTGTCCTTGAGTGGTTTAGGTCGTACCTCTCCCACCGTCTTCACTTTGTCTCCACGAATCGCTTTTCCTCCAGTCCCCGCCCTGTCTCGTGCTGTGTCCCTCAGGGCTCTGTCCTCAGTCCCCTCCTCTTCACCCTCTATATGCTCCCCCTCGGTGACATCATCCGCAGACATGGGGTTAACTTCCACATGTATGCGGATGACACCCAACTCTACCTTTCCTCCTCTACCCTCAACTCCATGACCACCGATGTCCTGACAGCTGCCTGTCCGACATCGAGTCCTGGATGAGAGACAACTTTCTTCAGCTCAACGTGCGCAAAACTGAGGCCCTCCTGATTGGCTCACGTCAGCGCCTCCGCACCTCAGGCGCTGACACCATCAGCATCCAAGGCTGCACTCTCCACCTCTCAAAGCCGGTCAGGAACCTCGGGGTTCTGTTCGACCCTGAGCTGTCCTTTCTCCCTCACATCCGCGCCACAACTGGCACCGCCTTCCATCACCTCCGGAACATCGCCAGACTACGGCACTACCTCACCCCTCACGCTGCTGAAACTATGGTCCACGCCTTTATCACCTCAAGGCTGGACTATGGGAACTCTCTCCTCGTCGGCCTTCCCGCCACCTCCCTCCACAAGCTGCAGGTCATTCAGAACTCTGCAGCTCGTGTACTGTCCCGCACCAGGCTTCGGGACCACATCACTCCCACCCTCGCTCGCCTCCACTGGCTCCCCATCCCCCAGAGGATTGATTTCAAGATCCTCATCCTCACCTACAAGGCCATTCACGGCCTCGCTCCCTCCTACCTCTCCAACTTACTATCCCCCTACCTACCTGCCCGTACCCTCCGTTCCTCTGGCTCCGGTCTGCTCCACATCCCCCGCCCCAACCGCCCTACCATCGGTGGCCGAGCCTTCAGCCTCTCAGCCCCCAGGCTCTGGAACTCTATCCCCAGTGCCTTCGCCGCCTCCTCCCTTTCCTCCTTCAAGGCCGGTCTCAAGACCTTTCTCTTTGACCGTGCCTTCAGCTCCCCTCTCGACTCTCTACCCCCTCCTCGCTCCCTCCCTTCCCTCCCCTCACCCTGACCATTTCCCCCCTGCTCGGCTCCTGACCCAACTGTACAGCGCCTTGGGACGTCCTCCTGACGTGAAAGGCGCTCTATAAATCGAATCTTGTTGTTGTTTTCAGAACACATGCCCCTTGAACTATTTGATTCTGTTGGTATTAAAAATCTTGTGAAGCTTTTTGAGACATTTCAACAAAGTGCTAAGATTTCTAACAAAAACAATGACAATTAATAAATATAAGTGAATATTATTTAATTATTTTCACCAATGGGAAAGAGGAATTTCACACCCAATAGTATGCTACAGATTGCATTATAATAATGTTTGTGCACTGGTGAACTATTTCCCAAGTCTATAAGCTCTTATATATGTTCCGCTCTCTTCCCTTGGTAACATTGGCCTGGTGGTATCCATCTCACAATGTCCTCTTTCTCAGGTCACATATGATCTCTGTCCGTGTACTGCTTTTACATTCACAATTTGCTTGCACAGGCAAGCTTATCTCTGCAAGGCAACCTGCAATGAAAAATTGCTGAACGCTTCTCTGAGTGCCAAAAATGGTTGCCTCTCCAGTGAGTTGCCTCCAATCTCCAGAAGGAATAGTTACGGTCCCTGAATGAGAGGATGCAGTGCTGTTTGTGTGTATGAGATTTTTGCATGAGGAGTGGGAAGACATCAGTGCAAAAACCTGCTGCTACCTCCAATCCCCCAGCCACCAGAAGGAAAGCACTGCATTGGGTGGGACACCCAAATCTACTTTTAAAAAAAGTGAAAAAAAAGGTTATTTCAGAAAGCAACAGGTGAATACAATGGAATGGATCTTGCACGAAAACATATCTAGGTGCCCCTAGAACAACACTATAGACAGGAAGATGATGTCTATGCTCTCATGCATTTCATGTTGAGCTTTGCTGTTCATCAGGAAGCTTGCAGAGCGTTCCTGGTACCTGTCATTCTCCAGGGATCTGTGCTTGGCTGGATGTCAAATGACCAACCGCTGACTATCGGGGGGGAGGGGGTGGGGGGCGGGGGGGGGCCGTGGAGGTGGCGGGCATACGTGGTGTTTTCTTGGTACTGAAATGGCTCCAAGGTGACATACATGACAAGAGGATATCGGAATCAGTCTCCTTGGCAGTCTCAGTTGTCCAGTTGCTGACCCAGGCGGGTCTGCAGTACTCCAAGGCACTACGGATGACAGACCAACCAGCCTGCCTTATTCATTGGCAGAACTTTGAGGGGCAGACCTCTCACATTTTCATGCCCAATTTATGCTGCTGGATAAAAAGAATGTGTACTTGATAGCATCTTTCATGTTATAATGTCTCAATGTTATTTTTTTCTCTTAGCCAACTGTGCGCCTGACACTTATGGAACCGTTCCACCATGTTAAAGACTAACCAAGTCAGATAGAGTTCCACATATGTACACCACCCACACATGAACATTTCTCTGTATCTGATTGTGTCCTATCACTATTTGACTACTGTGCCATGTGATTGTCGATGTTCACCTGAAAAGTCAGAATGATATGTGGTTTCATATCTCACCCGATAAACTAAAATGCTCGAATACTTGAAATAAAAAGATGTGATCGGTAGAAATCTGAAATAAAAACAGGAATGCTGGAAATTCAAAGCAGGTCAACTAGAATCCCAACTAGAATTTAGGTTAACATTTTAGATCTGAGAATGATTAAAAACAATGAAACAAAAATCATAAAAAGTTTGAGATCATGAAATATATGTGTTCACGTGTCCGTGTGTGTGTGTGTGCAGGTGATGGGGGCTGGGGGGTGTAAATAAGAGTTTAATTTCAAAACAATCAAAACTTTTCCCGGTGACTCACCCAAAACACAGTCACTGCACTTCACAGTATATCCCATGGTTTGGTATTTGGTACATTACCCTGAAATGAAAGCGCTGTACCAAATATAAGGCTTATTAATCCTTACGAAAGGTTCCGACAAAAGGTCATCGACCTGAAACATGAACTAATTTCCCTCTCTCCATAGATGCTGCCTGACCTGCTGCGTGTTCCCAGGGACTTCTGTTTTTATTTCCGATTTCCAGCCTCTGTAATATTCTGCCTTTTGCAAGGATTATTAATCCTTGCATTTGATTCATTCCCTCGCTCTGGACGAGAGATTTTTTTTTGCCTCAACAAGTGGAGTCCTGTAGCTCAGTGGTTAGAGCACTCGCTTTGCAAGCGAGAGACCTGAGTTCAATTCCAGGCAGAGGGCGAAATCTTGGGCAAGTTTCCTTACTCCACACAGAGCCTAATAATAATCCCTCCAAAACCAAAAACAATAATAAATTGGTCATTTTCAATCTACGACTGTTTGTGGGACATTGCTGTGCGCAATTGGCTGCCGCGTTCGCCCACAAATATACAGTCAATTCACTTTACAGTATATTCCGTGAAGCGCTTTGGGACGTCCTCCCGACGTGAAAAGCGCTATATCAAATGCAAGGATTATTATCATTATTAAGGAGCCGTGTCCCTACATCGGACCCATTGAGCGCCAGACGAAGGAGCTGGCAGCCTGCAGCCGGGGGTTGTCGGAAATTAATAGCCGGCCAAAGTACTAGCCCCAGAGTAGCCCAAGACCTGCGCCGAGGCTGCTGCGGCTAGCAGACTGGCCGATCAGAAGTGTCAGCGCCTTGGGGCGTCCTCCAGACCCGAAAGGCTCTTTGCAAATGTAATTTGTTGTTGTTGTTGTTGTTGTTGTTTTTGAAAGGTCTGTGCGTGCCGGGTGGGGTTGGGTGGTGGTGGTGGTGGGGGGTGGGGGAGGTGTTTGCAGGTTTAAATTGTTTTTTTTTCGTGTAAAATATCCAGGCAACCTCTCAAAGCAGTGTTTCCCCCAACCCCCCCCAACCCCCCCATACCCAGCCCAGCACCACAAAAAAACCCGCCCAATTTGGGGCGTGAAACCGCCCAACCTGCCCGCCACCGCGCCAGCGCGGACACCAGCTCTGGGCGCGCGGGAGCCGCAGCAGCGCGGGCTGGTGTGGGGGGGGAGCATGCGCAGTGCGCACGTGTGTGGTTGAAGCCGGGCCACGCGGCGGCGTGGGGGGGGGGAGAGACGTCAGTACGTACGCGCGCACGTACGTACGTCCGTTCGTGGGGGTTGTTGGGAAACGCGCGAGATCGGGGCGTCACGCGGCGGGAGCGGAGGGGAGGGTTGGAGGGGGGGAGGGGAGGGCTGAGGAACACCGGAGAACGTGACACACACACACACACGGCACAAAGGGGGTCGGAGATGCCGCTCTTCGCAGCCAATCCGTTCGACCAAGATGTCGGTGAGTGAGTTGGGGGAGTGCGGGAGGGAGGCGGCGGCGGTTGAGGTCGGTGGTGGTGGTGGTGATGGTGGTGGTTGGGGAAGGGTTTAATCAGCTGAGCTGTGTGTGTGTGTGTGTGTGTGGGGGGGCGGCTCCGCTCTGTGTTGTGGTTTGTAATGTGGGATAGAGAAAGCCGCTGTTTATCCTTATTTGAAGTCGGCATTGTAGCTGTGTCTGTGTCCAGTGTCTGTCTGTGTGTGTCTGTAGTGTCTGTCTGTGTGTGTCTGTAGTGTCTGTCTGTGTAGTGTCTGTAGTGTATGTGTGTCTGTAGTATTTGTGTGTCTGTAGTGTCTGTGTGTCTGTGTGTGTCTGTAGTGTCTGTGTGTGTCTGTAGTGTATGTGTGTCTGTAGTATTTGTGTGTGACTGTAGTCTGTGTGTGTCTGTAGTGTCTGTCTGTGTGTGTCTGTAGTGTCTGTGTGTCTGTCTGTAGTGTCTGTCTGTGTGTGTCTGTTGTGTCTGTCTGTAGTGTCTGTCTGTGTGTGTCTGTAGTGTCTGTGTCTGTCTGTAGTGTCTGTCTGTGTGTGTGTGTGTCTGTAGTGTCTGTCTGTGTGTGTGTGTGTATCTGTAGTGTCTGTGTGTGTCTGTGGTGTCTGTGTGTGTGCGCGACTTATGTTGGTTTTCGTCCTTCAGGCTGTTTGTGGTGGTTGTTGTTGTTGTCAGAGCAGGGAGTCCGGCAGCGAGCACTGACGGTGAGATCTGGGCCTTTTGTTGGTGAAGGGGTTAAGGGTTACGAATCACACGGTTTGGGTTGCTGTCTGTTTACATACCGACTGCTGTAATAGGTCTTTTTAATAATATATACATATATACATACACACACAAGACAGCGTCTAAACTTTAATTGTAAACCCTTTTCAAACAGAGACCTAATCATCAATAGTTTAGGATTAGATCTAATCTATCTAATTAGATCCAGTTATAATCATCATAATAATAATCCTTGCATTTAATATCGCGCCTTATCATGTCTTCGAGATGTCTCGAAGCGCTTCACAGAATATACTGTGCGGCAAAGTCGATTAACCGTTTGTGCTTCTCATCTGAATAAGTAAACTTTTTATTTAATGGGTTTCAGCTAAATCCCAATTTAAACGAAAACAGACAGCATTTCATTGATTTAATGCAAATTGAAATCATTTGTGTTGAAAACCCCCAGTGTCTCGGAGATGCCTTGTTCATCGTGGAAGATGTAAACAATGCAAAGCGGCATTTCTTTGCAATGAAGATCTGGCATACAAAATGCCAGCTTCTTTGTGAATTGAACATCCATCTAATTGTGGTGTACAGTATTCTGCTCATCTACAAATGAGATTTTAATAGTAGTTGTGGGATGTGAATTTTGTTTTCTGTAAATATTTTATAGCACAGGAGGAGACCATTTGGTCAATCATGATTCGCTTTCAATTGGAGCTATCCTCTCCAATCCTTTTACACTGTTTCCCCATACCCTTTAATATTATTTTTCCAAAAGGTATTTATCTAATTCCTTTTTTAGTTAGGTACAGACTCGGATTCAACACTCTTTTGTAGTGAGATATTCCATATTCTCACAATATATTATATATTTTTTAAAGTCTTCTAACCTCCTAGGTGATGCTCCTTGGGATGAGCATCAATTATATTCAAAAATCATTTTGCTTACTAATGATACATATTGTATGAGTTCATGGATGAAGGGAGTGTCAACCCCAGGGTACCATCTGTGCCTATTCATGTTGCAAATTTGATTCCTGTGACCCCAAATATTCTTGATTGCGTTTTCCTACTACTCCACAACTCAGGGTAAGTTTGGGGCAGCTTTGATGGACCAAATTCTACAGGAGGTCTTTAGTAATGATGGATTCAGTGTATTTTCCATATTTTGTTACATTGTTTGAGACATATCGACAGTGTGATAAGGCAATATTATTATTTTGTTGGAATTGGCTTTGGAAGAAGGAATTCATTTTTAATTTTTAGGAGATGATGACTTTTTATATATAAGAATGTTTCAGAATACAGAGTATTTTGCACATTTCTAACCTTTGTTTGTCACTATAGAACAAAGTAGATGTTATTCTGGAATCTCAGATTATGAAAATACTTTCCCCTCATCCCCAATTCAGGGCTCATGGCCTTAACTTTCACCTGGAATGTTGTGCAAATGTATTGGTGGTTTTAAAAAAAAATCCCAATCATGTCATCAATAGTAACACCTGTCACTTTGTTGGCGTCAACCCCTCTGTTGTCCCAGCATCTGAGAATTTGTGACCTAGTTTGAGAAATGAGCATCAATTATTATTCTTGTGAGAGTAAAGGTTGAGATTGCTGCTGTGTGCACCAATCTGGGATGTGTAAATTACTTCAGATAGACAATGTCATCTGCTGGCTCTCTAGGATGGGTGAAATTTGGACTTGAGTTCTGCAGTTAATATTTTCATGCAGTGAATTTCAAATTATGTTATCAATAGTAGTTTTTTTAATAGAGTACCTGAATGAGCATTTCAGTTACTGTTCTTGAACGACATGCCCTCACTCTTTCCCAACTCTGTGACATTATCTCACCTCACTCTCTCGCCTGCCCACCTCCAGCCTGGCTGAGTATTAGCAGAAGGTGGTGGGCTCGAGCCCCATGTCGGACTTGGAATCACATAGTCCAACCTGACACTACAAAGCAGTGCTGGGGTGTGTTGTGTTGTTGGAGGTGTTGTCCTTCGGATGACACATTAAACCGAGGTCCCGTCTGCCTTTTCAGGTGAACGTTAAAGATTCTACGGCACTGTTCGAAAGCAGAAGGGAGTTTCTCCCGGTTTCCTGGCCAACAAACAATCCCTCAAATAAAATTGGTCATTCACTTCATGGCTGTTTGTGGGACATTGCTGTACGAAAATTGGCTGCCACATTCCCCCTAGTCACTTAATTTTACCTTAAATCCTGTGAAGCACCTTGGGACGTCCTCCTGATGTAAAAGACGGGATACCAAATGCAAGGATTTTATTAATAATAATAATAATAATCCTTGCATTTGATATAGCGCTTTTCACGTCGGGAGGACGTCCCAAAGCGCTTCACAGAACACACTGTAAAGTGAATTGACTGTATATTTGTGGGCGAACGCGGCAGCCAATTGCGCACAGCAATGTCCCACAAACAGTCGTAGATTAAAAATGACCAATTTTATTATTGTTTTTGGTTTTGGAGGGATTATTATTAGGCTCTGTGTGGAGTAAGGAAACTTGCCCAAGGTTTCTCCCTGCCTGATATAGTGCCTTATCAAAAGGGAATTAATGTTGCTCCTCCAATTATCTTACCTCTTCCGTATGTGCTGTTATGTTATAAAGTGCAAGGTGTTTTTTTATACCACAGAAACTGATTGGATATTGATCAAAGATTAAATAAGTGAACTATTTTTTCATGTTAAATAATTGTGCAAAAGTTATAATCAGAACTTGTTTTAACAACAACAATAAAATTACATTTGTAAAGCGCCTTTCACGGCGAGAGGATGTCCCAAGGCCCTGGACAGACAGAGTTACGGTCCTGGGGTGGGGGAGGGTGGAGGGCCGGAGGGAGGCAGAGAGATCGAAAGCACGGTCGAAGAGGAGAGTCTTGAGATGGGTCTTGAAGGTGGCAAAAGAGAGGGCGAAACGGAGGGACTGAGGGATGGAGTTCCAGAGGGTGGGGGCAGAGTGTCGGAAGGCCCACCCGCCAATAGTGGGGTGAGCGAGGCGGGGGAGGTGAAGAAGGCCGGAGCCCGCTGAGTGGAGGGAGTGAACAGGATGGTAGGGTTTAGGAGGTCGGAGAGGTATATGCTTGATATGATTGGATTCAAGGATACTTGTATTATTACTGTTAATATGTGAGGTGCTACATTGTTTAGGGGTGGGATTCTGGCACAAAATGCATGAGCTGTTCATATGAATTAAGTATTTTCCAATTAAGTTGCTAAGCAATGAGTGTTTCAGTACTTTGTATACAGGATCAATATTTGAGAGATATTGCCAGTATGCACAGATTGTCTTCAAAGGGTCTTGTAATGATATCAAAAATCCTTGCATCGCACACCTTCCTTAAAAATCTGTTGTTTGCCTAACTAATACTTTGGACTCTATTGGACAGCATTGGACAAGATAACACCTGGCACAATGCAGCATGTGCAAAGGTAACGTTCTCTCTAACCAGCTGATTTCCCACAGTTTCTTACAAGGTTTGAATTAATTTCAGTGTCATTATGTACAGTAAACTCCTGATGACTCATCACTCCAAGAGAAAAGGGCTTAGTGTCAAGTTATCTGGTGTGGTGAGTTAGGCATATGTATAAATACATATATAAATGTGGCTGGGATATTGACAGCATGTTCACTTAAGTGGTAGTGACAAATTAAGCCAGGGTTGAGTTATTAGGTGTTTACTGTATTTTTTTCCCCCAAAATTACAATTAACTTCTCAAGTTCTCCAGAAACATAGGTGTTTTCATTTATTCAGTTTTGAAAACCCTCTATTGAATGCCTTCAATTTGTTTTCGCATTTTTGTGAGGTTATACATGAATACTTTTTTTGCTTTCATTTTGTTTGCTTTGAAATCATTTCTGGAGTTTTCCTCAGCTCATGTAGCCAAGAAGCAGGAATCAGGAGATTTGATGCTGGCCTGGTGGTGTTTCTCTCGCTGGCTCTCTTTTTAATGGAGAAGCTTAAAATGTTAAAGTGAGACCCTCCCATGCCTGATGGATATTAAAGGTTCCATCCCACTGTTCGAAAAGAAAAGGGAGCTTCTTCTTGTGTCCTGGCCAAGATCTCTTCTCCCCTACCACCCCCCCCCCCCAAGAAAAAATAGTAATTCATTTAATGGCTTTGTCGGTCATTGCTGTGGCCGATTGTCTCCTGTGCTTTCCTGCAAAAAAATAGTCACTAACTTTACAGTGAATCCTGTGAAGCGCATTGAGGCGTACTTCTGATGTGAAAGACCCTATATCAAATGTAAGAATTATTATTATTATAAACATCAGACTCCACTTGGCATCTTCTCCCAGTGTGGTTGATATCAGAACCTCAGCAGTGCAGGTTCATCATAGCGATGTGAATCCAGGTCCCATGAACCATGTCTTTGGAAAAAAATGATCATTTGATGGCAAGTACCCATCATGGTTTTGATAGAAGATTCCTGTTTGATATAGATTTTTTAACTAAGTTATGGGCACAATTTTTATTCCAAAAGTTGAATTCCTTAAATTATTTATCTTAGATGCTCATCAGAAGGATCCTACTGGAATGATTCGTACACGGGACAGTAATTGCTTGTGAAGCTCGTGGAAACATTTCAACACAACATTTTTTTAGAAAAACCTTACGTTTGGTATAACATCTTTTATGTTGGGAGGATGTCTCAAAGTGCTTCATAGGAAATATTGTAGAGTAACTGGTTGTGGGTGAACATGTCAGTCAATTTGTGTACAGCAACATCCCACAAACAGCCACGAGGCGAATGACCAATTTTGTTAGAGGTTTGTTGGCTATAAAATCAGGAGAAAACTCTGCTCTCTATTTGAATAGCCCTCATGGGATCTTTAACGTCTGCCAGAACAGCCAAACAGAACATTGATTTAATTGATGTCAGCCATGACTATATGAGTTCCAAGACCTGATGTTGGGCTTGAATACACAACCTTCTGACTCAGAGGTGAGATGTGCTACCAGTTGAGCCAGGCTGACCACACAATGTAAAGGCTGTTGGAGCGATGAATTTAGTTAGTGCTCATCTTACATTAGAATATACAGCACAGAAACAAGCCATTTGGCCCAACTGGTCTATGCCGGTGTTTATGCTCCATATGAGCCTCCTCCTGCCCTTCCTCAACTAAGCCTTCAAGCATAACCTTCTATTCCTTTCTCCCTCATGTAACTATTTAGCTTTCCCTTAAATACATCTATGCTATTTGCCTCAACACTCCTTGTGGTGGCATGTTCCACATTTCCACTCCTCTTGGTGTGAAGAAATTTCTTCTAACTTCCCTATTTGATCTATTTGTGACTGTTTTATATTGATGGCCTCTGGTTTTGGTCTCCCCCACAAGTGGAAACATCTTAATATACGGTCAATTCACTTTACCGCATATTCTGTGAAGTGCTTTGAGACGTCCAGAAGGTGTGAAAAACGCTGTATCAAATGCAGGATTATTATTATTATCTTCCCCATGTCTACCCTATCAAAACCTTTCATAATTTTAAAGACCTCTATCAGGTCACCCCTTACCCTTCTCTTTTCAAGAGCGAAGAGTTCAACTATGTTCAGCCTTTCCTGATAGGTATAACCTGTCAGTTCTGGGATCATCCTTTTGAATCTCCTTTGCACCCTCTCCAGTGCCTCTATATCCCTTCTATAATGTGGGGACCAGAACTGCACACAGTATTCTAAGTGTGGTCTAACCACGGTTCTATAGCAATTTACCATAACTTCCCTGTTTTTCATTTCATCTAACTACAGCAACAAAATTACATTTACACACCACAGTGTACCAATGCACTGAAACAAAACAGCTAGACAAGGGAATAATACCTCTGGATTCATGGCATTTGACAAGTCGCAGAAACAGACCATTCGGTCCAAATAGCCTCTGCCGCCATTTATAACTCCACGTGAAGGTCTACCACCCCCTATTCCCCTCATCTCTTCCCTTCTTCCTGATGTGGAGTTCTGTAGCTCAATGGTTAGAGCACTCACTTTGCAAGCGAGAGACCTGGGTTCAATTCCCAGCAGGGTGAAACCTTGGGCAAGTTTCCTTACTCCACACGCCTGATGATAATCCCTCAAAAAAAAAGAATAATAAATTGGTCATTTCAATCTATGACTGTTTGTGGGACACTGCTGTGCGTAATTGGCTGCCGCATTTCGCCCACAAATATATACAGTCAATTCACTTAACAGTCTATTCTGTGAAGCGCTTTGAGATGTCTAGAAGACGTGAAAAGCGTTATATCAAATGCAAGGATTATAATGTATGCAAGAAGTCTTAAATACACTTTACCTGATCTTCATTCTTTTAATCTTGTTTTCCTCCATCCTTTGTGTGTAGTTCCAATCTTCTGTACTGTAACATTCACATTATTTTTACTTTTATCGTTGGTTTTCATTTCTTTCCTGAATATGCTGATTTGTGTGTGTACTGTTGATGCGTCCATACTCAAATGGTCATTCTCTATACAGGTATTTGTGATCTGAGATATTGAGCGTTCAGAATATTGACTGTAAAAGGAATCTTGTCCTCGCCCTTTGTTTACATATTCACACTTATTCCATAGATTCTACACTGGTATTAAGAAAGACTAATGCTAGAAGGAAAAAAGAAAGAGCTAACAGATGGTTGGTAAGGACAGGAGTTAGTGGGTTGCGATCAGGAGCAGCAATCACAGGCCCCAAATTACTCCTGGTCTTAAAAAGAATGTGAAAATGCCATCCAAATTAAAGAATTTTCTAGAATTCAGCATGATCTTTGAATGATCTCAAATTTTAAGACAGCGGACTTGAGGCTCAGACCAGGAAAAGTTTGATCCCTCTCTTGCCCAATAGCGATGAAGCCAATTGTGCTGCTCCTACAGCCACACTGGTAGAGGTCAACTAAGTCTGTGTGTCCTATTTCATTCCAGGCACTGACCGCACCAATTGGACCATATTATTTCCTTCTAGCATTTGTGATTGGAACTTTCTTCATACCAGTGGAGAATCAATGGAGTTAGTTAAGAGAGGTTTATGAACAATGGGGACGGTAAACAAGAAAGAAGAAACAACTTTTTATAGCATTTTTAGAGTATTAGAATATTTCAAAATGTTTTATGGTAATTAGAGTTGAATCCAATTATTGTTTTTGTAGACACCCATGGGGCAGCCATTTTTGCATACAGCACCAAGTAGCCATGAGTTGAACGACATAACTCAGGACACTGGGAAAAATTCCTTTCTTTTGCCATGTCGAATTGAAAACAGACAGATGTTTCAGTTGAACATTTCATTCAAATGACAGCACCTTCACCAATGTAGCAGTCTCCCAGGACTGCATTGGGTATCAACCTGGACTGAAGTCTAGACCCGATATGGGGTATGAAACCACAATCTGACCGAAAGCAAATAGGCTACCATACTATCCAAGATGACAACTAGCTTGCCATTCCAGCTTAAAGCAGGAGTGTTGTGCAGATCAGCAGTGGAAAATTCATTCAGGTATAGATACGTTATGTAGCACATCACAAACTATTAGATTGAGTCTTAACTGTAGAATGTTCTTAAAATGTCCTCAATTGAAAGCAGGCAGACATTTTCTGGAGGAGAAAATGGAGTTTCATGATGCGGAGGTGGTGACCTTGGCGCTAGTTTATAGTTTGAAACGCTTGCAATATTCCAGTTCAAACAGTTGGTACACTTGTATTTTCAAATGAATAAAGTGGATTTCCAGAAGCTGGTAAGAAAAGAGGAAGAATCCAAGGACCATTGGTGTGTTGTGTTATTGTGACGACATTTGATAGTGAGTTTGAAATGGGCTCTGTTGTGGGAGATGAAAACTGGTTGTCCTTAGGAAGAATGTAATGTCTGCGAATTTTTTTCTTTTAATGGCAAATTGACTGTTGCAGAAGTTAACAGGATGACTGGGCCGAAACCACAGAAGTGCTTAGCTCGCCCCCATCTATTGCACTTTGTAAATGGAATATTGAACCTTAAGTAACGAATATTGCCTTTTCAAGTCAATATTTTAACGACAAGAACAAACTTGCATTTTTATAGCACCACCTCATATCAAAGGGCTTCACAGTTCAAGTTAATTTCAGTCAAGTGCAGTGCCTGTTCTTGTGGGCCAGTCAATGCGTCCCATAAACAGCCTTGAGGTGAATGATTCATTCCTCTGGATGATTGTTGACTAAGTCATCAGGCGAAATGCCTTTAACTTTTTAAGCAGTGTCATGTGATCCTTAAAGTCCACCTATATAAGCAGAGGGTGACCTCAGTTTAATGTTTCATCTGAAAGGCAACACTAGTTGTTAACCAAGATTTCCAATGCCTGTTTTCAGGTGGACGAATGCCCTGGATGACAATCCCCCGGTGCTATGAGGTCAAGTCACGACTTAGGGCTTGAAGCGTTCTGATGCAGAGATGAGAGATGAGTGCTCAACTAAGCCAAGCTGTTCCTGTACAATATATTTTTATATAATTGTCTTTTTTGCAGGATGGGTATTTTCACTACTTATAGTTTGAAACACTTGCAATATTCTAATTCAAACAATTGGTACATTTGTATTTTAAAGTGAATAAAATCCTTCACTTATTCTCAATTGCCCATTTTTATTTTCTTTTTTCTCGTTTTGCTCTTCTATCTGTTTTAACACCCCTACCCACCAACAGGATTTTAGCTTACTTTGCAGCCTACAAACGTTTATTTTGGAAGTAGCAGACTGTATGAAATCTTCAACAAGAAATGGGCCAAGACAACATTTGGGATTTGCGACAGACTATCCAGGAGAATCCTAATTTATTCCCCAAATTAGAAGGTGAGTTAGTAAAGGAGATAGTACTCCTGGGCGGTCAGAAGTCCTTCCCACTTAGGCATTCTTCATTTGTCTTGGGCCAATCCCAGACAAATGAAGAATGCCCAGGTGAGAAGGACTTTGAGCTTATATAGCATGAGTAAATTGGAAGAAAGTTTTTTGAAGCTTCATCCTTGGTATTGTCCCACTGAACTCCACTGTGCTATTATTAATGAAATACCCCAAACTAAATAAAAATAATCTGCACTTCCTTACTACAGTAGAACCTTGTTATAACGTACTTCGTTATAGTGTGGGAGTTGCTTTTAGCAGGATTGACTTGTGGATGCTGACATTTACTTGCTAAAGAATTCAAAATGTTAATAAAAAGCCAGCCAGATCACTTCATATTGCACTGTCGCGCTTCAAGCTGTGGCTGTGGTTCACACGAGTCTGCTTGATGGTGGGTTTTGAAGCTACATCATGATTTGAAGTGTGATGGAGCCAGATGGTATTTTGGATGAGTATGCAGTGACATAACTGGCCACTTTGACTTACTCCAAAGTCATCCTGGAGGCAAACAACAATCCAAAGACGCTGTTTTCCACCGTCCATCACCTTTGTGCACCCCCTCAAGTCCCTTTTATCCTCACATCAAACACCAAGTGCGATGAGGTCCTAGACTTCTTCACTTCAAAGATTGAAAACATCCGCTTGGCTGCATCATTTTCCTCCGCTGTTATCACACCCCTCCTCAAAAAAAAAAAACCCACCCTCGATCCCTCTAATCTCTTCACACTACTGTCTCATTTCCAACCTATGCTTCCTTGCCAAAGTCCTGGAACCCATTGTTGCAGGTCAACTTTGATCACACCTTTCCCTCCACTTTCTCCTCGAGTCCCTGCAGTTTGTTTTTTGCCCTGCCCGCAGCACAGAGACAGCACTTATCAAAATCACAAACAACGCCCTCTCTATCTGTGACCAGGGCTCCCCTCTGCCTCCTCGTCCTCCTGATCTCTCTGCTGCATTCGATACAGTTGACCACGGCATCCTCCTCCACCGCCTCCTCCCTCATCCACCTTAGTGGGACCGCACTTGCATGGTTCGAGTCCTACTTAACAACCAACCGCCTCGATTTCATTTTGGCAAATGGTTTCTCCTTCCGCTCCTGTCCGGTCACCTATGAGGTACTCCAGGGCTCCATCCTTGACCCTCTTCCTTATCCATATGCGCCCTCTGGGCGATGTCATCCGTAAACACGGGGTAAACTTCCACATGTATGCGGATAACACACAAATCTACTTTGAATCCTCCAGTACCAACTCCAAGTCTGTCGATGTTCTATGAGCTTGTCTGGTAGACATCAGGTCCTGCAAACTTCCTGCAGCTGAACACTCCTTGGTTCCCGTCAACGTCTTCACTCCTGCGGATCTGAACTTGTCAACCTCCCTGGGCTCTCCCTCAGACTCACCGAACCAGTGCACAATCTAGGCATCCGGTCCAGCCCCCAGCTGTACTTCCTCCCCACATCCGATCCCTGAGCAGCACCGCCTTCTTCCACCTCCACCGCATTGCCCGCCTCCGACAGTACCTTACCCCAAATGCAGCTGAAACTCTCGTGTATGCGTTTGTCACCTCCCGCCTGGATTACTCAAACGCAGACTCACCAAGTCTCCCCAGTTCCACTATTCAAAAGATCCAGCTCATTCAGAGCTCTGCCGCCCACATACTGACCTGGATCAAACTCTGTACCTGCATCTTACCAGTTCTGGCCAGGGTCCACTGACTCCCTATCACCAAACGGATCGACTTCAAGATCCTCACGCTTGTGTTCAAATCCCTTAACTCTCTGGCACCTGCCTATCTTTCTGACCTCCTCACTCCCCAATCCACCACCCGGCTCCTCTGCTCGAAACTCTGGTACACTCTCGCTCAATCCTTCCACTTTGCTCCCTTTCTCCCCTTTTTCAAGACCCACCTGAAAGCCTTCCTCTTCGATGGTGCTTCAGCCACCTCCCCTACCGCCTTATAATGGGGGTTCTGCCGTAATCCTGCCAAGCTCACTCCTTCAGAATTTTTGTGAGCATTTAAAGAGATAGCTTGCACATTAATTCACAATATTCTCTGAATAGAATTGTGTTTTCAGTGGTTAGGCTAAATCTTTTTTAAATTAAATAAAATAATAATAATAATCCTTGCATTTCATCTTGCGCTTTTTACGTCTTTAGACATCTCAAAGTGCTTCACACAATATACTGTGAAGTGAATTGAATGTATATTTGTGAGCGAAACGCAGCAGCCAATTGCGCACAGCAGTGTCCCACAAACAGTCGTGGGTTGAAGTGACCAATTGTTTTTTTTTCTTGAGGGATTGTTATCACGCATGTGAAGTAAGGAAACTTGCCCAAGGTTTCGACCAGCCGGAGTGCTATAGCACTCCACAAAATAGTCTGCTTTCCACAGTGTTGTGAAAGAGAATGCCTTTGGGAGTCAGCTTGGCTCAGCAGTAGCATTTTCACCTCTTGAGCCGGAAAGCTTTGGTTCAAATCCCACGATAGGACTTGGAATTTACATAGTGTAAGATAACGCTCCCGGCAGCACTGGGGTGGGGGTGGGATTGCATTGAAGTCCCATCTGCTTATTCAGCCTTTTTCAATACCCCACCTTCAGCCACTTTGCTTTGTTTCCTGATGTTACATCATACTTCATTGCGGGAGAACTAGGAGTGCCACTTTGGTTTGTCTTTCATAACTAGATTTTTTCATATTCACGCAAGTGTCTCACCCTCAGCTGTCATAACTGGATGTCGTAATGGAAAGAGGATAGGGTAGGGATTGTGAAAGAATGAAGTCAACTGAACTGAAAGACCTTTGCTATCATACTTTTCTGGTGCTATCTTATGATTGTGATAACTCCTGTTGACGGAGCAGGTATAATTTGAGAGTATGCTTCCCTTTTAAATTAATTAGTGCATTGTCGAGACCTACAGGACACATGGATTAAAAGCAGAATGCAAAGCTCAACTGTGAGAAATCGAATTGCTGAGTTCTGAATTCATTGTGAATCTCTGGAGAGCAAAGCTCCATATGCCAGTAATGCCAATTGGAAGAATCTATTCTCGAGGCGATGAAGACATCGATAAAGGATTCAGTAGCGTTGTGATTCAGTTCCCAATAAGTCAGGCAATGGGCATTTTTCAGGAAAGAAAGACATATCAAACTACAATAACGTAGTGCATTGAAGAAATATTCTGTGGAGGGCACTGATTTGAGATGGACATGAGTTTTGTATTCATTTTCCAGCAGTGTGTGCTGCTTGCCATTTTGCCAATTAGAGAAGGAAGGTTGGTGTGTCTTCCACTTTGTCAGAGGTAGGGTGGGGCAAGACACTGGTCAGTCTCATTCTTTTGTCACCAGAGTGATCTAACGCAATTTGACCTACTGTATTGTCTGTCTGACTAAATTGTTGTTGGGTTGTGCCTTGAAGTATTCACTGCTACTATTAAAATGGTACATTCATAATTTGCAGGAATCAATACGTCAGCTATTCTTGCGCCTTGTATCACTACAGGATAAAGGAATCCTTGAAGACAACTGGCTGGTACTTGTGAAGCCTGCCCTTTCTCCTCTTGGCTGAGTTGCCATATGCTTGCCTTTGACATTCCAGAAAACTTGAGCATTGCATATGAATGATATGGACACACATATCTGTTGGTGTAAACTGTTATCATAAATAGCCTTGGTGTGAAATTAAACAAACTGGGTCATGCATTAGTTGCAAGTGGATTTGGTGTGAGTTTTTATGGCAAATAATTACAAACTTGTAACCTTCTGTAGGAAGCTGATGAATACCAAATACATCACATGAAAACACCTTTGAGTTGAGCGTTAGTGTTTGGTGTGTGCAGAGTATTTGAAAGCTTATTCATTTTCTTAAACTGACTTTATGCTGTCTGCTTCTGCATGTGTCATAGTGTTATTTATAAGTCTGTAAAAGAACATGAATTTCACTTTATTTTATTTTCAGTTATCTGTTTTATAGTAATTTTGATTTAACCTAAACTCACTTTACAGTCATCCTTTAGCATTTGGGTTCATGAAATCATTCAGATTAACATTTACATAATGTTAGAGACTAAACTCAAACATCGGTGTACTATCTTTGAATTGGAAGCATATATCATTAGCAGCTTAAGATTAAATAATTGATGGTTAGGACCAAGGATGGCAGCAATGGGCAACAAGCACAAGCTGAGGACTTTATCCACGGATGAATAAATAGATTCCAATCTACTTATATTAACAAATCAAAGATGAATTCAAAATTAAAATGTGATTGTAGTCTATTAAAGTAATGGGCTTTCTGTTAAATAACTAGTTATTTATCTGTTGTGGCAGACACTTGAAGATTGAGAAATTGTGCTTACAAACTGTTTTGGATTCAGTGGTGTTGAATTTACTGTTACGAAACATGCAGTTGTCGAGACATTTTCATTGATGAACTCTAGGTGGAACTGAGCTACTGTACTGTACTTATTTGTTGGGCCAAACTTCAGTCAACTGAAAATAACCCAATTATTTTAGAAGGCGCAAACAGCTAGAGGTCTAACATTTCTCATGATCGTACTTAAGCTATTAACTTAAAATTTAAGATCATGCAAAATTTTGAAGTATTTTAAGTTAAGTCCAAATTAGGAAGGTGGTGCTTGTTGCATTTTTTTTAAAAGAGCTTTGAGACTTTTCAATGCTATAGATGCTACATCAAATACAAAGCTTATTATTTATTCCCCTGCAAAAGGCAACAAAGGCTTAAAATAATGTCAAAATATGGAGAGCCAAGGAGTCCCTGGAGCCAATTCCTATTTAAATTAAATAATCTTTACATTAGGACCTTTCACGTCAACATGTCTCAAAGCGCTTCACTGGATTCACTATGCAGTTTGTTGGTGAATGCGACAGCACAACATTGTCTCACAAATGGACATAAAATGAATGACCAATTTTATTTGGAGAATTGTTGGCCAGTATACCTGGAGAAACTCCCTTCTCTTTTCGAGTATTGCCATGGAATCTTTAACATTCACCTCAAACGGCAGATGGGACCTCTGTTTACTATCTCTTCCAAACAACACATGTTATGTTTGCTCTTTTTCATTTTCATTGCTCTATTTTTTCCACTTGGAGCCATCCATATCCTTATTACATCTCACATACGCCTATGCTCTGATTGCCGACTCCCCAGTTCTTTCCTGCACAGGCTGCAGACTATCCAGAACCTTGCTCCGAGAGCCTATCATCTCCATCCCTGCTCAGCTCAACTGGCTCCTTCCTCCCTGCCCTTCAGCTCTGGTGCACGGCAAGAATTGCTGAGCAAATTTGGGACACACCGAATAGTATGTATCTTGCTACCACCTGAATCACAAAGTATCAGCTTAACTCAATCGGTAGTACTTTTACTTCTGGATCAGAGCTTAAAGGACTTTGAGCTCAAAATTCAGTTTGATATTCCGTGCAATACTGGAGGAGAGCTTCATTGTCCTTTAGATGAGATGTTCAACCGAGGTACTCAGTGCTTTTTCAGTTGGTTAATTGGTAGTTTACCTGATAGCTTTTTGTGGCATCTTGCTGTGTGCACTTTAGCTGTTGCTTTTGAGTGCAAATGCACGATGGTTTGAAAGCAATTACCTGTGAGATTTGTGATGATTTAATGTAATCAGAGCCTATAAAATGCAGAGATCATTTACATTAGAAAGCTAAAACTTCTAGTTTTATTAAAGCAAACATCAAATTTTATAGTGCCTATTTTGTACGAAGGAATCTATCTAGGGAAAGCATGGAAAGGATAGGAGTTATACAAGTAATGTAGCCATGTATGCAAGATATTCATGCATACATAAAATCTTCTGCACACCAGATTTTATTGTATTTGACATGCCTTTTAGGCTCCACCCAACTCTCCCTCCATAGGCTCCAGGTCATGCAGAATTCTACAGCCAGTGTCCTCTCCAGCACTAGGTTCCGTGATCCTATCACTTCCATCCTCGCCCGACCTCTCTGGCTTCCCATCACACAGAGGAACAAGTTCAAGCTCCTGGTCCTCACCTTCAAAGCCCTCCATGGGCTTGCTCTCCCCACCTCTGCGACCTCCTAACCCCCTACCAACCTGCCGCTCTGATCTCCATCACGTCCCCCGCCTGCCTGCCCCACCATTGGTGGGTGAGCCTTCACCCACTCTGCCCCCACCCTCTGGAACTCCATCCCTCAGTCCCTCTGCCTCACCCCCTTCCTCGACCCATCTCAAGACCCTCCTCTTTGACCGTGCCTTTGATCACCCTCCTTTTCCCCCTGTCCTCTACCCTCCCCGATCCTGACCCCCAGCTTGGGTCTGAAACACTGACTGTCCAGCACCTTGGGACGTCCTCCCAACGTGAAAGGCGCTATACAAATGTAACTGTTGTTGTTGTAGCCTAGTGTGGCTCTTATAAGATCAGTGTTTCAGGAAGAGGAATATTAGGAATATATAGAACTAGCTTTACCCGTTGCAGCTACGCTTGCAACCAAAGGATCCAATATGGAATGTAGATTGACAGACAGACATTTCATCTTTGTCTATCCTCCCTTTTGGGAGGACTCCTTTTGGGAAGACGCAGCGCTTAAAAATGTAATTTTGTTGTCGCCGCGGCTTAGCCTTGTCTGTGTTCTTCGTTTTGTTCCCGCCACTTAGCTACGTGCCTGCTCTGCCACAGGATGCCACAGCGCCACGGTCATCTGGCCGGCCACCAGGTGCAACTGCAGTAAGTGGGTACATACGTAGGTGCTCTGTGATGTATGATGTCACAGCGCCACTTTGACTTGGTGGCCACCAGGGGTAATTGCAGCAAAAAAACACAAAATGAAAATAACTTGTGAATGATAGGAGATACCCCAAAACAAATATGCCCATCTCACTCCCAGATACAAGACCTTTCCCACGAGGTATAAATCATGTCTCTAAATCAATTGGTTACTGAGATCCTTCTTGAAGCACAGACAGAAATTGCCATTTTATTGGTATATAGATATATACTTATAATATTGCTGAGTGCGAATTGGTTGCCCTGTTACCACACGTCACAGTCTAATCCTGTGAAGCACTTTGAAATGTCCTCCTGACTTGAAAGAAGCTACATCTAATGCAAGGATGATGATGATTATTATAAAATGAATATAGGTAGCATCGTTCATTCACAAATTTAGAACGTAATGTGGTCACCTTTTAGCAAATGGGTCAGAATATGTCATTGGTTACTTCTCGTTGGTTCCATAATTCCACACCATGCCTCCACTGAGATTGGGAATGGTATGAGAGGTCTCTGGGACACATTCTGTGCCTTAAAGTGGTCTACTGTTGCTTTGGCTGGGTGATCTGCTTTTACATTTTATCTTTTGACAAGCATACTTTTTGTTTCCTTTTTTTGTGTACATTATCTGTTTAAGAATTTAGGCTTTATTTTTTATTTTTTGGTCCAAGTGTCTGATAAGAATTAATGACTGCTGGCCAGACAATCAGAATCTTAAATCTTGCTCGATCACGCACAATTAAGTTTACAGTTTTTATATAGTGCTGACAGGAAAATTCCTTTGTGCTACTGTCATCGGCAGGAGAAGTGGCCAATGTGGACGGAGTTCACGTTGTGAGCGTGTGACTCAGGAACATGAGACCAAAGACTGACTACTCCTACATGTTTATATGTACAGGGAATTTCGGGTCCCTCGCACTTCCCGCCCCACCATTGGTGGTCAGGCATTCAGCATCTGGCCCCACACTCTGGAACTGTATCCCGCACATCCCTCCGCCTCACCCCCTCTCTTGTCTTTAGATGGAGCTTGAAGTAGACCTTCCTCTTCGACCATGCCTTCGGCCACCCTCAACCCTCCTGCCCCCCCCCCCCCCGCCGACCCCAACTGCCAGCTTGGTTCCAAAACCCCTGATCGTCCAGCTTTCTAGGACTTCTTTCTGACGTGAAGGGTGCTATACAAGTGTAACCCTCATACACACATTCATAACATCCAGGGTTGACTATGCAAACTCCCTGCTTGTTGGCCTCCTAAACTCCTCCCTCCATAGGCTGCAGATCATCCAGAACTCTGTGTCCTTGCCGTGATCCTATCACCCCATCCTCGCCCGACTCCACTGGCTTCCCATCACACAGAGGATGCGGTTCAAGATCCTGGTCCTCACCTTCAAAGCCCTCCATGGCTTTCCTCGCCCCTACCTCTGCCACCTCCTTACCCCGTACCAACCTGCGGGCTCCAGCCTGCTTCACGTCCCCCGCCTCACAAGCCCCACCATTGGCCCCCACCCTCTGGAACTCTAGTCCGCATCGCTCTGCCTCGCCCCTCCCTTGCTTCCTTCAAGACCCATCTCAAGACCCTCCTCTTTGACCGTGCTTTCGATCACCCTCCTTCCCCTCCTCCACCCTCCCCAGTCCTGACCCCCAACTCAGGTCCGAAACACTGACTGTCGAGTGTCTTGGGAAGTCCTCCTGACATGAAAGGCGCTATACAAATGTAATTTTGTTTGTTTGTGTGTAATTTGTTGTTGTTGTATATTTTGCGGCAAAAAGCGGCAGCCAAATGCGCACAGCAGTGTCCCACAAACAGTTGTGGATTATTGCCGTCCGGTTTTGCAGATTAATGCATAACTGAGTATTGGAGGACCACTAATTGTAGAAAGTACCATAGCTGAGCTTGATATCCCACGGCTGCCTGACTACCACACATGCACATAACCAGCAGAGGTGTGCTAGAGAAACTTTGAGCCAGGAAACCTGACTGTTTTCACTTCTGTAACTCGGGGAAAGCTAGGGCCAATTTAGCTTTCACATGAGATCAGGAAATTTAGCACAGGCTAGGATTCAAACCAGTCTGTAAACTGCAGCCCTATCCAGGACACCATTGAGCTTGTAAGTAATTTAAGAGGAATTTGTCATGAAGGTTTTTCATGCCAAGTTTAGCCTAGATTTAGTCAATGCATTAGAAAACTCTAAAGAATAAAGCTGCTCCAAAAAGTGCTCAAAATATTTTTTTACTTCTCTTACAAATACTAGAAAATGTTGAAAATGCACACTAGGATGATCAGTGCCTGAAATAAAAAAAACAATTGTGGGTGTGACCTTTCCTCAGATTTGAAATTATATAACCTTTGCTTTTCTTTTAGATTTTGATCAATCTGGTATCCACTGCTGACTATTGCTGTTTATTGTTCATAATAATCTTATATTTGACATAGTGCTTTTCACATTGAGAGGACATCTCAAAGCTTTGGGAGAGCATCTCATAATGGCTAAATGAAGGTGCAAGTTACGTACAGATCATTTGGGCTTTTTCACCCCTTTTTCAGGTTTAAGTCACTTATATTCTCTGCTTGCATGTGTTTTTTTTCTCCTTCTCCCTCTGTGAATTCACACAAATTTCTCTTCTTGAATTCTTTGATAGAGAAGGCAACGAGCGAGATGAACACTGCAGAGGACTGGGGCCTAATACTGGATATCTGCGACAAAGTGGGGCAGTCACGTACTGGGTAAGGTTTTAAAACAACTTTCTCTGGTAACTCTATAACAGTAACTAAATGTTCAGGGAAACGCATTCAATCGCCAACGTGTGAACCTGAAGAGTTCAATGAGAAATAGCTGCATAAGCAGTGTGTGCAGCAGCTGTTTCCATAATTAGCTTCCAAGCTGTGTGAAGTAAGGGTTTGTATAAATCAAGGCCACAGCCAAATATAGTTCAGCAGCAAGCAGCACAGTGCAATTATGCTCATGTTGCACCTCCTTATTCTGTAAGATTCAAATGGTTATTTGTACTGCTGATCGTATGTGTCTAATTTTCTTTAGAAACCATCTTTAGCTAACATTGAAACTTGTAAACACGCACGGTACAGAGACTGCGCTTGTGAAAGTCACAAATGACATCCTCTCTATCTGTGACCAGGGCTTCCTCTGCCTCCTTGTCCTCCTAGACCTCTCCGCTGCGGACACAGTCGATCATGCCATCCTCCTTCACCGCCTTTCCTCCGTCATCCACCTCAGTGGGACCGCACTCGCCTGGTTCGAGTCCTACCTCATGAGCCGCCAGCAGTACATCTGCACAAACGGCTTCTCCTCCCACTCTCACCCGGTTACCTGTGGGTACCCCAAGGATCCATCCTCCTCTTTCTGATCTACATGCTCCCCCTTGGGGATGTCATCCGCAGACATGGGGTACACTTCCACATGTGTGCGGATGACACCCATCTCTATTTTTCCACCTCACTTTGCGACCCCCAGTCCCTTGATGTTCTGTCAGCTGCCTGTCGAATCTCAGGAGCTGGATGAGCGCAAATTTCCTTCAGCTGAACGTTGACAAGACAGAAGCCATACTCTTTGGCTCTCGTCAGCATCTAAAATTACACGGTTCTCACCTCCTCCACCTACTTGATCTCCCCCTAAAACTCTCCGAACCCGTACGCAACCTTGGCATCAGGTTTGACCCACAATTATCCTTCCTACCCTACATCCGGTCCCTCACCAGCACCGCTTTCTTCCACCTCCGACGCATTGCCCGTCTCCGCCAATACTTCACTCCAAAACCCGCTGAAACCCTGGTCCATGCCTTTGTCACCTCTCGACTGGACTATTCAAATGCCTTCTTCGCCGGTCTCCCCTCCACTACCATCCATAAAATCCAGGTCATACAAAACTCTTCTGCCCGCATTCTTACCTGCACCAAACTCCGCTCCCCGATTACCCCAGTCCTTGCCAGACTGCACTGGCTGCCTGTCCCAGAGAGGATCGACTTCAAAATCCTCACCCTTTGTCTTTAAATCCCTCCACTCCTCTGCACCCCCTCCCCATCTCTCTGACCTACTCTCTCCTCAAAGAGTGCCCGTTGCCTTTGTTCTACTGGGTCTTGCCTCCTCCTGGTCCCCTGATTCCTCCGCTTCACTCTCAGTGGCCGTGCTTTCAGCCACTATGCCCCGAGGCTCTGGAACTGCCTTCCTCACTCCCTTCGCCTCACCCCCTCTCTTCCTATTTTCAGGTCTCGGCTGAAGACCTTTCTTTTCGACCATGCCTTTGGTCACCTTCCTCCCCCTCCCCCTAGCTCAGCCCCGGGATCCATTACCGTGAAGCACTATGAGACATCGTTTAGCGTGGAAGGCGCTATATAAATCCAAGTTGTTGTTGTTGACTATTGATGGTAGCTTTTTATTTTACATATTTTATATTGCAAAACTTCTTCAGTTTTGTTCAGACTAGTAGACAAGGGATGAGAGAAACAGAATCTGAGGGCTACAAATCTGTCTGTCAGACCAGGGTAGTGATGTGAATTGGCAATATAGTAGTTGGCTATTAGTATTCTTCGGATAGATATTAAAGAAATTCCACTATGATACTCTTCGAATGAGAAAGGAGTTTCTCCAAGTGTACTGGCCAACAATCCTCTGGATAAATACACCTCATGACTGCTTGTGCAACGTAGTTGGTGCAAACTTCTGAGACATTTCAACTTAATGAGGTGCTATAAAAATGCACATTTTTTTCTTTGTAGCACCAACATATGCTTATTGGACCCTATGTCCTCTCCTATGCTGTAATTTCTGATTCTTGGAAGAGGTATCTTTGCAGCCCTTTTGACTGTAAAAGAAACTGGCTTACCTAAATGAGCTCCTGCAAAGAACCATTGCCCTTGCATGCTTGGTTAGCACAATTTATGTTTTGGGGGCCCTCTTGCTATACTGGCTGCAGGAGCTGCAATATCAGGAAGCTGGAATCACTCTCTGGCATGAGCCAACATCAGACCATGCAGAATTGCACTTGCCTATAAGTACCTTCACTACACTTTACAGCAAGTTCTGTGAAGAGCTTTAAGACATTTTGACGACTTGATCATGTGATATATCAAATGCAAGGATTATTATAATTGAAAGACATCAATAAACACAACTGAAATGTGTAAGTGAATCAGTAATTGAAAATCCGGAGTTGGTTAGGGGGACCCACACCCAGCTCGGGTATCCATACAGTTTCGTCAAGCGCTTTGAAATGGCCTCCTGACTTGAAAGGTGCGATTATAAATGTAACTTCTATTGTATTTGCTAAACGGAAGATTCCTGAAGAGATTTTTTTTAAGATGTAAACATTTGTGGAATAATTTGGATGTGCTGTTTATTAATAGGCCCAAAGATTGCTTGAGATCTATTATGAAAAGAGTGAATCACAAGGATCCGCACGTTGCGATGCAGGCGCTGACAGTAAGTACGGCAGCACTTATTACACTACTTCTAAGGTACAGTCCATTGTTCATGAAAAAGATGTACCAACCTTCAAGTTGACTTTGCAATGCTTTCTTTGTGTTCCTGTTTGTGGGTCATCGTTGTGCACACATTAGCTGTCCATGATTGCTTATAAAATACGCAGTCACTGCGTTTTACAGTGGATCCTGTGAAGCATTTTGAGATGTTCTCCCGATGTGAAAGGTACTGTATCAAATGTAAAATTTTATTTACTGTAGGGCTAGTGAGATTTGATAGCATTTGCTCTCTGCAACTTGAACACCATTTTAAGACTGCAACTCAGTTTAGACGTCAACAGGTGCAGAAAAAAATCCAGTTTCTCAGGAGTGGTTGAGTACCACTATGGGGAATAGTGGCTGATCTACTTTGCCCTGAAATTTTGGAACTCTTTGCTTGAATCCCTCTGCCTACCCCTATCTACATGAATAGTGCTATATAAAAGCAAGTTAAAATTACAACTCCTACAGTGAAACAGAGAAATGCAGAAATAAAATTTCTCAAATGTTGTGAATAAATGTGAAGTGGAATTAATGTTTTAACTATAAATTTATAAAGCTGATTTAATAAAAGCATTTTTTTAAAAATTCTAATTCTGCAGACCTCATCATTGCTCTTTTCCAATCCTATTCTCTAATTCCATTCTTTGCCCATTTTTCATCAATTCATTTTATCTGTTACCACTACTTTTATCTTTTCCCTCATTGAAATTGAGTTTAGAAACTTCCACTTACTGTGATATTTCAACCAGACTTTTAGATGCTGTGTTAAGGAGATTGATACAAGTCTGGGTTTTCATTGACTGCAAATCTATTTCACATTTTAAAAAAAAAAATGAGCTTATCTAAAGCCAAGATGATGGTTGGCCCGTTCAGATCATGGATGCAAGCATATCAAACCTGGAAGGGAGCTGTAAAAGGAGTGTGTTTGTTTGTTGCATCAGCAGAGTATTAAAAAGCATTTACGAAACGCTTAGCTTTTATGAGTAACAATCATAATGTAATGTACATGTAAAATATTTTTGTTACACGTGCAGTAACTATAGAACAAGTCCTCGCTTATGCTGCATATGGCCACACCACAGTTGCAATCTGTATTAACCCACTTTTTTTCTTTAAAGCTGCTCGGAGCATGTGTGTCAAACTGTGGTAAAATCTTTCACCTTGAAGTCTGCTCCAGAGACTTTGCAAGTGAAGTGAGCAACGTTTTGAATAAGGTAAATACTTGAGGCATTTTTGTGATTTGTGTTGATCTCAGACATTGTTGGCTCACATAATTGATTTGTCCTCTAGTGCAATAAGCGTAACTTCATTTGCACTAAAGTAAAACAATGAACTGTGGTGTGTGTCTTCCACACATTCATTTTCACAGCTTTGGCCGTTTCTTATTATTTGGTCACTTTTTTTGTAAGTATAGTTGATTTACTCTGTTAGTTTTCTTTTTATCGGTTAATATCGATGATTTTCACATAAAATAATTTTAATTTCAAGGTCAGGATATTCTTCTGAGGAGTTTTTTTTTTTTTTGTGACTCATGGCTCAAATAAAAAACAAACCAGGTCTTTCCACTGACCTCAAACACACTCTGAGCTCATCCACTGAAAAAGGACTCTCTTTGGTTCTTGTGCTGATTCACACGTGGTTCCTCTACTGAATCAATCACACACCGTTCCTCGTGCTCTGAATCCCCCCCAGGCTCGTGTTTGTATCAAACACCTGGAACTTTATCAATTGCTCAGTTATCGATCCTCCTTGGAATCAGCAGTCCAAGCTCATTATTCATTGGACACTTGATGGTTTTGCAAGCCAACAATCCATCACAGACCAAACTTCTTCTGCTGCCCCATTAGTAGCTTGTGTTTTGGACACTCATTGGTGAGTTGCTATTGAAACGAGTCTGCTGTGGTTTAGGGTCCTCTTCCTTCTTCCTGCCACCATGCTCATACTTGACCACCATTACGCACTGTTTCTAAGAATTCAACTTATTTTAATTCCGTTTTTTCACAATTCTTGGCCTAATAGCATTTTTTTGGAAAACAAGCTTTTTTTTATTAATGACAAGTTATTTAGTTGGATTGTAGAATATTGCAAAAAAAAGAAATTGAGTATTTACCATTTTATTTAATATATATTTAATACAGGCAAATCTACTTGTAAGTATCTAGATGGTTTGAAGTTTAACTTTAAATTATTGTATTATTTGTAAATCAAATGCAAATTGGCTTATTTTGTTAAGGAAGACCCATATTTTGAATAATAGATAAATATTATTATTAACAGAAAAGATTGATAAATGCCATCCCACATGGGTTTTCAGAAGGCATTTGATAAAAGTTCTATACAAGAGATCTCAATTTAAAACTGAGCTGCATTAAATTGTGGCAACCTTATGGCGTGGATCATAAATTATTAGGGAGGTGGGAGCAGAGAACTAGGACAAAAGAGTTGTTCTCTATTTGGTAGGCAGTTAGCTATGAATAATAATTCCACAGGGACAAACGGGCTACAGCATTTCACTTTCTATGTAAATAAACTTGAGTCAGGAATAAAGGGGACTATTTTCAAGTTAATAGATAATTGGAAGCTATGAAATTGTGGAGAAGAGATTTGAGCATTTCAAAAGGATATAGACAGATTAATAGGAAGTGTGCAGCACAATGGAAGATGCAAATCAATGTAGCAAACCACAAGATAGCAGCACATGTACGAATGGTCGGTGTGCATACTTTTTGAATGGGGACGTACTTGATGAATAAATGGGTTTAGGAGTTGGGTATATAAACCATCAGATTGCAAGTGAGAAAAGGCATTAGAGGTTAATACAATTCTAGAATATAATGTTGACTTAACAGACTCATTTTTGGGGTGGTTAGCTGAGTGTCTTGACACACGTGGAAACCCATCACCATGCTTAAGAGTATCCAAACCAAGCTGAGATTTCCACACATCCCACCTACACATGGAAATCCCAGAGATAGATTGTTGGAATGAAATGCGCACTCTCTCCCTGGAGGGACACTTCCTGTTTACCTAATTGCAGAAAGTATTAGTGCAGGTTGGCAAGAGCTAAGCCTTGGGGACTCCAGAGTGTGATTTGGGGTACTGCTGGAGTCTAACTAGCTAAAATCGCATCGCTTGCCATTGATATCGCTGTCTGGCAAGCTTTACCGCTGCATGTTCAGTTAAGACTATCCTACCCGTTAGGGCTTTGGCCTGCAGGGTTTGCTTATGACAATGTGAGATTTCCACACATCCCACCTACACATGGAAATCCCAGAGATAGATTGTCTGAATGGAATGCATACTTTCTTTTTGGAGGGAAGCATCCTGCTTACCTGATTCCGGAAAGTATTAGGCAAGTTTGGCAAGGGTCAAGGCTTGGGGACCCCAGAGTGTGCACTAGGATACTGCTGGAGTCTAACCAGCTAAAACCGCAGAGCATTGCCATTGATATTGCTGTCCGACAAGTTTTCCCGCAGCTTGTCTCGCACCCTACCAAGGTTAACAGGAGCTCAGTGAAATGACTATTTGCCCCCAGTGACTGGTCTGCCCTTCCAGGTCCTGCTGATGAGCCAGGCTGGCTGTGCTGTCATCAGCAGTGCCCTGTAATAGTGCGGACCTGCCTGGCTCAGGAACCGGACTACCGAGACCGCCACAGAAGGCTGGCTCGATTCCGGCATTCCATTGCCAGGCATGTCACCTTGGAGCTAGTTCAGCTTCAAGGAGGCGCCGCGTATACTAGAATATAAAGGTAAGTGTTGCAGTAATTACACAAACTGCTGATCTAGGGTGTTCCGTTCAGACTTGGAGACTCCACCTTTAGAAAGATATACTGCCTTTTGGGTAAAAATATTTCATTGAGACTCGCCTAGCTAATTATGTGGGTTGATTGACTTGCCTAAAATTAGAGATTGAGCAAATCCAAGTTACTTTGCCTGGCGCTGAGAAGGCTTAAGGTGTGATCTGATCGTATACAGAAGTTGAATTAAATCAAAAGAATTGTGAAGGTTGTGCTCATGGTATGACTGCTGTCAGTGAAATTTTGGAGCATACAGTCTGAACTGCACTTTTTAGAAAACTAATTACAAATGTTTGGAAATGGATTTGGTTGTTTTATTAGTAATTTCGTTCTATTGGTAAAGTGTCATAGTATGATTAAAAAATGGTTTGGTGTGTTTAAATAATAAAAAATAATAATAGAATATCCTTTCAGGGTCACCCAAAAGTCTGTGAAAAGCTGAAAGCCCTCATGGTGGAATGGAGTGAGGAGTTTAAAAATGACCCCCAGCTTAGCCTTATATCTGCTATGATCAAAAACTTGAAGGAACAAGGAGTTGCATTCCCTGCGGCAGGTTCCCAGGTAATAATACCTTTCTCTGTGTTTGAATTTGTCTAGATGAATCACATACTAAGATTTTGTACTTGTGCTCTTTTAGCCAGCCCCTCCTGTGATTTCTAAAAAAAAAATTAATTAAAAAAAAATCTCCCCAACATTTTCCCTTCAGATACTATGCACATTCCTAGCCTCTGGAATTCTCTTTCCCCCCCCTCCCCCACCACTGCCTTGGTCCCACACTATCAGTTTTTAAACCCTTTGATCATGCCTATGGTCATTTTCCCCTTTCCTCACCCCTCTGCCTTGCTCAGCGTACGACCGGTGTCATTGTGAAGTGCTCCAAGGCATGTGAAGGGCGCTATAAAAATGCAAGTTATTGTTTGACTCCTTTTTCGTTCTGATTGTGTTTCCAACACGTGGTACCTCACTAAGTGACCACATATGAGCCTTTGACAGTGAATGTTGGAGGACTTGTCAAGGATGGGATGGCAGCATCTCAACAAAGTATTATCTCATATTTCCACACGCCCATGTCCAGCAAGGACCACTAGTTGGAGATCAGAACTCTGTGGAGTCCTGCAGCTCAGTGGTTAGAGCATTTGCCTTGCAAGCGAGAGACCTAGGTTTGATTCCCAGCAGGGCAAAATGTTGGGCAAGTTTCCTTACACCACTCTACAGTATATTCTTTGAAGCGCTTTCAGACGTCTCATAAGGCGCTTTATCAAATGCAAGGATTATTATTAACCAATTCTAGCATCTCCATTGTCATCCAGCCTGAGATGAGCTTACTTGTCACGGATAAAGGGGTCTTCCTACAGTTGCTAGATAAACCCGCAGAGCCATCGGTAGAGCTGCAGTTTGTGAAATGTTGAGTTGTTGGATTTAAATTGGATGCTGATTAACAGTACTCTTTGTAACTACTTGGTTGAGACAGGCAGCAGAACAGGCAAAAGCAAGCCCTGCTTTGGTGACTAAGGATCCAAATGTAGCAGCAAGCAAAAAAGAGGAGGAGGACTTGGCAAAAGGTGGGTTGATGTGCAATGTGAATTCAACAGCAAATGAACAATAATGGAAATGTCTTGAAAACGCTGTGACTTGCATTGGTAGAATTTGGTAGGATTGCAGTGATTCCTGCAAAATACCCAGTCACTATCCAGTAAATCCTGTGAAGTGCTTTGTGATATCCTCCTGATGTAAAAGACGCTATACCAAATACAAAGGTTATTTTTCAGTTAATACAGAATCACAAGCCTACAAAATTCAGGTGTAGCAAATGATCAAGAACTTCATTCAGTCATGTATAAAAATACTGTTTTGAAATTGCTCTGAATGATGTTTCTGAGCATTGGTGAACCTGGATGTTGTAATCTAACAATATTGTATTTTTTCAATGTAAGCATCACTTTAGGATGTACTGCAGTCACTGAGATTTTGCTGTTATTCTTCTATCAGTATACAGATGCATATTTGCGTTAAAAGTAGTGTTGTATGTTGTAGGCCTGTACTCCCAGGACATAATAATAGGGTAAATTATAGCTTTTCAACATAGATAGTATATTTGGCTAAAGTGTACTGTCACTCCTGTCACTGGACATTTATTTTCTCCACAATCTACTGGAAGGTGGATTAGCTGGAGGAACATCTATAAACATCTGCCTAGATGTTGAGGGAATGGTATTGTAAGAGAGTAGAGTCATACCAGACTAATAACTGAATGACTAAGGAGCTTAAGATGCCCCTTCCCCCTCATCTCCCACTAGCTTTATAAAAATAATTCATCCTTGCATTTCGTGCAGCTCTTACAATATCAGAATGCCTCAAAGTGCTTCACAGGTGTTGCTGTTAAGTGGATTCTGCTACATACTCTTCTACGTATTATTCTAATCCATGGCGATTGGTTAAACGAGAATTAATTTGGCATTAGATTTGCTGAACCTTTTCAGTGTATCACTTCCCAATTGAGTTCCTTTTTGGAATACAGAGTTTGCTAAATTTACATTGGTCTATCAATCTTATTGTGATATAGGATATATTTTGAAAAGCGGTGGGCAAAGACCATTTTTTAAAAAAAATACATTATTTGCATAAGAATGGTAATAATATACATTAGCTGGCAGTAAGCACTGTGACATTCATGGACTCCAGACATCACGCGCTGAGTGGGGAGGGTGAATTATAAGCAGATGATTGTTTGACTCAGCATTAGATGCTGTGCATCTGCTTGCGTTGCCGGAGGCATATAAGTAAGCATTTGCTTAATGTGTGTTAAGTGGTGTTTAGTTTGCCAGATTTGGAAAAATTGGATCTTGCAGGTATCTGAATGAGTGTATTAGCAACCTGCTGCCCTTCCACTCAAACTCTGACTTCCATGAAGCCAATTTGCAATCAAAGGGGGTGCTTGGCAAGAGATCGGTTCATTACAAATGCTGCAACTCAACTGCAGTGGGGTCTGTTGTGCTCTGTGTGTAAATGTGTTACGTACCACAATGCATCTTTATTGTATTTCTCGTTGCGCCAGTGTTTTTTTCCGTTTTTCTTTTTTTCCCCTTCCTTTTCCGAGGACCATACTCTCCTCACACTCGGCTCATTCTCTCCCCGACTTGGCAAAATGCCAATAAAAAATATATTTCCCAGTAACCTTGTGCCCTCCCACACAGTTTGAAAGCCCCTGGTCTAGACTGACAATCCAATACAATATTGGGCGAAGTCTGGAGGAAGAAAATCCATGGCTGTTTGTGGAACATTGCTGTGCACAATTGGCTGATGTGTTTCATCCACAAAATATTGTCAATCCACTTTGCAATATATTCTATGAATATATATTCACCCTCCCCACCCATTGTGTGATATCTGTAGTCCATGAATGTCAGATAGTGCTTACTTCCAGCTAATGTATATTATATTCATTTGAAATGTCTCATCAAGGTGATAAGGCACTATATCAAATACAAGAATTAGAATTACAGATCTCCATTTTTGAACATGACGTTCTTTTGAAGAATTGTAAAACAAGTTCCTCCCGTCTGCCTGCTCAAGTGGAGGTTAAAATTCACTAGGTTTTTTTAGATCATCGAGCCCCACAAGCATCTTTGTTTACTGTCATTGAATTTAATCCTGATAGTTCAACAATCTTGGATTATGCTTTTTAAATGGGAACCAATAATAATTTTGTTGGTGCACCACTCAATTTTGACAGAAAATGTGAAGCAAGTAGGTTTTCAATGAATCTTTTTTTCAATTGAATAAGGTATATTTTAGTATCTGATATTTTATAGCAATTGAATTGTCATTGAAAGAACAAAGGCACCAGCAGCCAACTGTCTCTAGTCTGTATCCGAGCACGTCTAATCTTGTGACCAGCAAACCAGAAGGACGAAAGGTGCGAGCCATCTACGACTTTGAAGCTGCAGAAGATAATGAACTCACTTTTAAGGCTGGAGAGATCATCGCTGTGCTGGATGACAGGTATCTGAAAGCCATTATGGATGGGGAATTCATTGCTCAAGAAACGTTTGTAATAAGGGTTTGTACAAAACAAATGGAACAAAGGTTAGATCAAATTTAGAGTGTACAGCAGTAAGATGTAAGTAAGTAAGTAAAATGATTTGTACTGAAAATGATTTGTTTTTTGGGAGAATGGAATCTATCACACACAATTTTGAATAATTCTGTTTCTGAACGTGACAGTATTGAAATGATTAGAAAATCCATATTTGCATTCCACAGTGATCCAAACTGGTGGAAAGGTGAAACTTATCAAGGCATTGGGCTGTTTCCATCAAACTTTGTGACTGCAGACCTAACTGCAGAGCCTGAGATGTGTAAGTACAGTTGAACCTCATTGAATGGGCATGTCAGTAATGGGGACAACTCACTCGTTAGGTCTCTTTTTCAGTCTAGAAAACAAATTCAAGTGATTGTGACCAAAATTCCAAATTTGCCAATAAGAATAAAAGAGACCAGTTTATTGAGTTCCCCTAATAGCGAATTTCTACTGTTTTATAATGAGTTGAGAGTTTTAAATGAAGAACTTTGTTATAGATGACTGATAATATCCAGATTTGATTAGAGAAGTTTGAAAGATGAGTTTTTAATTTGAGAAACGTGTTGAAAAGTTGTCTTTCTGCACAATACTACGATATATTCACTTACTACAGTGTGGTATATTTACAGTGAAAACTGAAAAGAAAACTGTTCAGTTTAGTGATGAGGTGCAGATTGAGACATTGGAGCCAGAACCTGAACCAGTTTATATTGATGAAGTAAGTACAAGCATTTATGTTACTAAATATTTTGGCTCTTTGAACCCAGGCTATGACCCGCATCCTTACCTGGCTTTAACCACCCCCCCTGGCTCGCTAATTGTTCATCTTTGGTCACAACCTTGCCCCATTCCATCTCCAGGATCTCCTGCATCCCTGCTCCCCAGTTGCCTTGCTTCATATCGCCCATTGCTTTATAAGAGATTGAAGAACTTTAGAAACCCAATGGGAAACTCACCTACGTTATGTTCATCCAGGGCGACAGACTTGTTATATCTATTCCTGGCCTTTCTAACAGGATTGCGGCGCTTCTGTTTGTGGATAATATTATGTTGTTGGTGGACTCACCTGGGGACCTTTTATACTGCACTCACCATCTTGAACATTGGGCCACCCGATAGGAATTGATGGTGGATGCCTCTAAATGTGGAATCATGGTTCTGCGCAGCTCAAGCAAAGATAGTGATTGGAAGATTTGCACTGTTTGAATTTCAAATATATACAGTTATTGTTGATCTGATTGGTGAATACTATAAAAATTGTTGTTACTGTAGTAAGAGGCATTCTGTACTTAATAGGTTTCTGTTTGATTTCTGTAGGAAAAAATGGATCAGCTGTTACAGCTATTGCAGAGCGCAAATCCCACCGATGGCCAGCCAGACTCCCCAGAGCTGCTCCATCTAGAAGGTCATATTTCCTGTTGTTAAATATCCAATTCCGTGGATTGCTCATATCTGGCTGAAATTTGATTAGTTCATTCATACACAAACTAGCACAAAAATGGTGTAATAATGTATCTTATGTTTCAGTTGTTCATTTATTGAATTCAGGAAACATCACACATGTTTTTGGCTTGTTTGATTCTGTAAATATCTACATTGGGAGGGTTTACGAAGGTTTGCACCTATTGATAGTACGATATATTTAAATTTACCCAGGAGATCTCAATAGGTCCCCACCTGAAGACACTTCTGTCCTATGCTTCCAGCTTCTGGGATTCAAGTGGATGGGAGAGGAGCATGGCGTGGGTTAATTTTGAACAGATTAAGGATTTCAGGTGGCAGTCAGTTACAGGTCTTTCCCAGTCATTTATTGATCCCATGATTTCTTTGGATTCAGATGAATGGTGCTTCCTCCAGTGCTAATTAAATCCCAAGCACCTTTCATTCAATTTTGCCCACAAAATATAGTCAATTCACTTTACAGTATACTCTGTGAATCGCTTTGAGACATCTTGAAGACGTGATAAGGCACTATATCAAAAGTGAGAATTATTATTCGGCAAACGTTTTGTCTGCCTGTTTAGTTGTGAACTGTGTGACATCCCCCAGATTTCATAGAATCATAGAATTATACAACGTAGAAGGAGGCCATTCGGCCCATCGTGTCCGTGCCAGCTCTTTGAAAAAGCTGTCCAAATTAATCCCACTCCCCCGATCTCTCCCCATAGTCCTCTCTGCAAATTTGTCCTTCCCAAATATCTATCTACTTCCCTCTTGAAAGTTCTCTTTGACCGAGCCTTCAGCTCCCCTCTCGACTCTCTTCCCCCTTCTCGCTCCCTCCCATCCCTCCCCTCACCCTGACCATTTCCCCACCTCCTCGCTCCCTCCCCTCCCCTCACCCTGACCATTTCCCCCCTGCTCGGGTCATGACCCAACTGTGCAGCGCCTTGGGACGTCCTCCTGTCGTGAAATGGAAATCTTCTTGTTGTTGTTGTTGTTGTTATTGAATCGGCTTCGCCACCCTTTCAGGCAATGCATTCCAGATCTGAACATCTCGCTGTGTGAAAACATTTCTCCTCACCTCCCCTCTGTTTTTTTTGGCAACTATTTTAAATCTGTGTCCTCTGGTTACTGACCCACTCGCCCGCCAGTGGAAACAGGTTTTCCCTGTTCATCGTATCGAGTCCCCTCATAATTTTGAACACTATTAATTCTCATGAATTGGTGAAAATTCTTCTTGATGCTAAGAATGCTAACTGAATGCAGAATGTGGAGTCCTTGTTGACAACAAACTAGATAGGTGTGTGATCGAGTTTCCTGCAGGTATTTTCCTGGCTTTTTTCCCTTTTTATGTTTGAGAGCTTGAACATTGTGCTGCAGACAGGCACCATCAATAATCTACTATTTAAAAAAAGTTACAGACAGCATAGTGATAATTTAGCTCAACGATTCATATCCAGATAAGAGGAAGAGTTCAATGTTTGCATACTCTATATCAAGAGAGCTGCACCTAGAAATTAATGTTTAGTTTTACAGCCAGTAAAATCTAATACTTCCAGGTAACCATAAAAATATTCAAATCTCTCTTGTTGCTTCTAAAATGTTCTCAGGGAGCTGTGACCAAATGGGACCACTCATAGATCAGAAGCTAGAGGAAATTGACAGGTAAATATATGTCTGACACACGTTGTTTAGAATTACTTGTTTTTTGTTTATTCTTTAGTGTCTGTCCTTGTGATCTGTTAACAAGATTCTTACAGCTGTTCATTTCCCTGTTGTTTCAGGAAACATTCTGAACTATCGGAGCTGAATGTGAAAGTAATGGAGGCCTTGTCCCTATATGCTAAGTTAATGAATGAGGATCCTATGTATTCAATGTATGCTAAACTCCCGAGCCAGCAGTATTATATGCAACAACCTCCTGCAGCGGCCTCCCAGGTTGGTTTCTTATGTATTCTTCATGAAACTTTTCGACAGATGAAAACCTGTATCATGGATGTAGTTCGTCATTTTTTNCTGAAAAGGCCTTTCCGTGTCCAATTTTATCTTTTTAATTTTAGAACAATTGAGGAAACAACGAAGCTGGTAATTAAAGCTTTATACTGTCCGATTAAAGCATTAGTGCACGCAGTTTTGACAGACATGGAAATGTCATGTAATTGGTGCATAACATAAATTAGTAGAGTTTAAGTTTCTATTTCAGCTTATACTGTACCTCAACTACCAATCTAATGATTGCAGTATAGTCAGTGTAAACATCTTGCTGAGTTTTTGAAACTTGCTGTACATATAAATATGACATTTATTACACTTGTTACAACACATACCTTATTTTGTGTTGTCTACGTATGTCAAAAATATACAAAAATAACTTGCGTAATACCCTTTCAGAGGTTATGGTATGGGCTATATCTTGCAAATTTTATATTTATTATGTAATTGAAAAGGTTGCTTATCAATCCAGTCAAATCATTAGGGCCCTTGTTCCTTAATTTACAATCATTTAATTTAGTGCACATAATTAAATAATTTATATTATGATTATAAGCCCTGAATAGGTCCCACGGTTCCAAATGCGCTGTATAAACTGTGTACTCTGTGAGCTGTTTCTGGGAGTGTGAGTTGGATGGAGAAAGAATTGTGTTGGTGTGTACCCTCCCATGATAGCTTCAGCTGTAAATCATTTGATATCCACTTTCAGCAGGGGATGACGTAAGGGCAGGAACCTTCAGAAATGCAGTCATCATCATGGCACCATTTTTAAATCGCCACTTGAAATCATGGCACCATTTTTAAATCATCACTTGAAATCATGGCACCATTTTTAATTGCACTTAAACTCTTCCCATTTTAGGTATATTCAGGTCAGCCTCCCACTGGCACATACGTAGTATCTGGTGCTCCTCACATGGCCTCAGTCCAGGGATACAGTATTCCATCAGATCAGATTCCCTCACTCAGTCAAGCTAGTCTGCCACCAACAGGAAGCACAGCCCTGACCACCCAGCAAGTTCAGACATCTTATACTAGGTAAGGAATGATATGGTACACCACTTGTTGTGACCCTTTTTCATCTGTAATCTTTTAAAATATCCTTTACACAATTTCCTAGATCAGCTGTGGGACACTTTCAGCAGTCACGTGTCATCTCCCAATTTGAAACTGCTGTGCAGTGAGAGAGTTTATAGTTAGTTGACCTTTGTGATCTCCAGAAAACTCGGTGCTGGTGAGGGAAAGAAATGCAAAGCACTGGGTGAAGTAAGAATAAACCATTGATGTAACTAAAACATTTTCAACCAAAGATGGTCTGAGTTCTGCTTACTCCAAGATGCTCTTATTCTCCAAGATCATGGAGAAAGATGTTGCTTTCTTCACCTCACCTCCCAATTCTGCTGTTTCAAACACATTCAGTTTAACAAATGAGGATTATTATTATTATATATCAGGATCGCATTGGAAGAGAAAAGATTGGGTAACACCAAAACATTTGAGTTGAATAGTCGTTAATCAATATAATTATGTAAAAAAAGAAGATGCCCTATAGTTTTCATTTGACGTAAAAGAACTCCAGGGAAAAAGAAAGAATAAGTGACTGTACCATTTCTGGCATCTGCGAGCAGCTGTTCTGCCAAGCTTTTCATTATCAAAAATGAAGGTGACATATCACGCTCAATAACATGATAGCCATCTCATGAAATTAAAAAAAATACTTTTCGTAAATTTTGTGATCCACTTGCAGTTATTACTAAATCTGATTTCTCTGGATATTGTGTACATGATATTATTTTTCACATAACAAATTGCATTTATATAGTATCTTTCATGTTGGGAGGATGTCCCAAGGTGCTGGACAGTGAAGGGTTTGCACCTGAGCTAAGGGCTGGAGGTTGAGAGGGGTAGAATGTAATGGAGTGGAGTAGGAAGATGACCGAAGGCGCGGTTGGAAAGGAAGGTCGTGTGACAGGCTTTGAAGGGACGGAGTGAGGTAGAAGGGTTCCAGAGGGTGGGTGCAGAAAGGCTGAATCCTTCCGTCCTCTGATGGTGGAGCTGGCAGGCCAGTGCCCACTGAGTGGAGGGAGCAGACAGATTGATAAAGTTTTGGTAGAATGCAGAGGTAGCAGCAAGACTGTCCAGGGCTTTCAGGGGAGGACGAGGATCTTGAAGGGGATGAGGAACCAGTGAAGCCAGGCGAGGATGGGGTGTTCGGTTGATGGAGATTAGAGTGGGAGAAGACATGAGCTGCAGAGAGAGTGCTGAAGCTTGCGGAGGGAAGAGTTGGGAAGTTCAGCGAGTAAAGCATTAGCGTAGTCAAACCTCAATGGAATGAAAGAGTGGATGAAAGTTTCCGAAAACCCGAAAGGCAGTTTTTCTGTTCAATATCCACAGCTGCCCATGCAAGTTTACATCTTAAAACATTTCAGTTCTAGACTGGTTAGTGCTCTTTTGCAACTCTTGAGACGACCCCCCCCCCAATGCTAAAGGTGCTATATAAATGTAAAATTGTCGTCGTCGCGATTCCATATACATGCTGATGTCCTTTGGAGGTGGATGCAGTCATAGTGATGCTGTTAAGCATGTTGTTGTTCTGTCACTTGATCTGCATGCTCTTAAAAGACTGTTTCAATGTAACCACCTTACAGTGTTAAAGAGAACACAGTAACTGAAGAATATTTTGCATGACACAGTGGTAGATGCTTAACTGGATACTTTCTTTCTTGCTTTCTAGTTCTATACCTGGAAGTGCATACTTACACCAGGCATCTGTCTACAGTCAACCTGCCCCTTCAAACATTGATATCTCTAGCTACCAGGCTGCTGGCCCAAATGGACATCAGATGGCAAACTACAGCATTGGGCCCACATCTCACGGTCAACAGTCCAACAGTCAACAGCAATCCCCATATTCTCAGAAAGCACTTCTATAGGAGATGTGACATTCATTCCTTCATTTTTCCTGGTCCTAGTTATTCAATTAAAAAAACATTAGTGCAATTTACATCAATTTTAAAAAAAAGTTGGCCATTTGCAGACTCTTCTGATTTTTTTTTTTTTGTAGCAGAACCACCTCACAACAGAGGAATGGAAAATGGAAGTTTACTCCTAATAAGCATCCTGAGCTCCCAATGACCACAATCATTTATCCTGAGCATAATCTGCTCCCACGTTGTGGTGTAGAGTGGGTGAGGGAGGGAAAGGGAAACTGAACTGATAAGCTATGGTTGTGTACATAACATTGATTTATTCCATTAGTAATGGTTTTGACAGCCATTTAGTGATCATGTGAACCTAAACATTTGAGTGGTACAGAAACAAATTCATGGTGGTTTTAAAGTAAGATCATCAGCTTTGTAGAAATTTTAATTTATATTAAATTGCAGCATCCCTTTGATGTGAAAACTCAACATAACTTCATTTGCACTTCGTCAAAACTAAATTCCCAGATCAACCATGAAGGCTTGACCTGCCTCCCTGGGACCAGAACAAGTGGCTTCTTATGTAAACAGATTGTTGCTGTACCATTTGTGTATATTTATTTGCTGCTTTTTAGTTTGGTGGCCTGAAAAGATGAGACCGCAGCAGTATTATCCAGTAGGCATACTCCTCATAATTAATCAAATTTGGCACATTAGATTTTTGAATGAAGGGGCTGTTTATAAACAATTTTTATGACTAAATGTAATGAAAGTTAAGCACATCCTACAATTCTAGTTCCATCTCTTCATTACTTTGTTTCCTTAAATTTTGAATTTCCACACACCACCACCCCATAATAACAAGCAGTTCTGTTACTAGCCTCATTGTTTTCTACAAGGGAAAAGCAATCTTACAATGTTAACCAGGAAGTTGTCCAGATTGAAAACTAAAATACTACAGAATCCCTTAAGTTTGAACCACATTATCAAAATGTCTTCATTACATTATAGCGTTAGCATTTCACAGCCCAGCTCTGAGTACCACTTCCATAACCACGAAGGGTTCATCTTTCAAATAAAAGCTGCAGCAAACTAGTCACAATTGGACAAATCTATGGGATGGGAAAGTTCCACAGGTTGAAACTGGAATGATCTGATTGCTGTGGAAACATAGTGGTTGAAAAGGTGAGTGCAAGTTAAATCCCATCAGCTTGCGTTGACTTATGCAGTAAGAGTCGTTGCATATAGCAGAATGAGGAATGTCTCACCTCTGGCTTTTTATGCTGAGTAGCAAAACCTGAGCCCTGTGATTTTTTTTTTTGCAAAATTTTTAAAGAATCTTCTAATAAAGGCATGGAGTTTGCTAAACGTGAGAACAGACTGTGTGTTTGAGGCAGTTCATATTTCAACAGTTGTATATATTTTTGTTGAAGTACAGTGCAGTTCTCATTCACAGCTTTTCTTTGGAGTCCCGTAGTCTAATGGTTAGTACGCTTGCCTCACAAGCGTGAGGATCTGGTTTGATTCCTGGGCAGAGTGAAACCTTACGCAAGTTTCCTTACGCCTCTGTTTACCTTGCAGTAAGTAGGAACCCAGTTGATTGGTGGATCGCTTTCTGGGGGGTAATAATCCCTCCAAAATAAATCATTCAATCCACGACTGTTTGTGGGACACTGCAGTGCTCAATTAGCTGCTGAGTATCTCCCACAAAATACAGTAAATCTGCTTTACAATATATTCTGTGAAACACTTTGAGACATCTCAATGACGTGATGAGCTATATCAAATACAAGAATTGTGATTATTCTGTGTATTGGGTCAAAAGGGTCAATCAATTTGGAGACTGAGCTTTGTTATAAGTACTTTACTGCCATAGTACAGGTACTTACCCCAAGAATTTCTCCTTTAAAAAAGCACTATATTCATGAAAAAAAAGTTTGCCAATATATTTCTCCTATGGAAGAGAAAAGAGCCATGCATTGTCTGTAACTGTTTACATGTGTACATCTGACTTAGTATTTACAAATGGTTATTTTGTTATTCTGTCCATAAATGGTTTAATGAACCCACTTCATGAAGATGGTGATCCTTTTCATCTGCATGTAACTGCTGTAACTGGAGGTATGAAATTTGCAGTATGTTGTATTTAAGCTTTTAAATGTCTTAAATATTTTGGTAAGTGTTTTTAAAATTATCACATTTATTTTTCTCCATGCAACTGAGGTCAAGTGAATTCAACTGGAAATACTGTATGTGTGACAGCTACATGTATCTTGGAAGATGTAAATAACTATACAGTGATACCTCTTGATTTTACAAGTATAGTTGAAAGTTTGCAGAACACTAATTGTGCTGCTGTTTTTATTATGTTCAGTTTTCCATTTATATAATACATTTCAAAGAGGTCTATTAAGAGTACACTACAAGCAGTAATTCTGTATGAAATGTTAGGGAACAAAATTGTATTGCCATTGAACACTAACTACTTGTTTATTCCAATATACAAAATCCTAAAATGAACAAAGTAAAAGCTACAAGAATATTTCTGTAGATTTGATTTTTGTTAGCTTTGAAATCACTTGTAAGCAGAATGGCTGAATTGGATACCACAAGTTATGAATCTGCAAATTAGATTTCATATGCCACTGCATGTCGTGTTTTGGAGATGAGGAAGAAAATACTGCTTTGTCTTCATGAGAAGTAACTTCACAGTTGATCTGTGAATTAAGAATGGTTGAAATAAATGATCACAGTGTATCAGATGCTGTTCTCTTGTCAAAAAAACAATTCAAATTGTTTTCTGTGTCAAGTCCTGTAACTTGTCGTTCTTACCCTGATTTTGGGTTTCAATATATCAATGACAAAGTGGTTTGTGTTTGCTTGAAAACTGAAATCTTGTATGTTTTGTCTCTTGGAGTTCGTTTGAGGGCAGGCAATTAATTGGCTTCTATTGCAAATAGGTTTAGTTTTCATACAGTTGCCATTGTTTCTGTCAACAAGACCGGGTAAAACAAGTGATTTTTGAAACTTGCATGCAGTCTACTGCTTTACATGATATTTATTTTAACTTTACAAGGAAGCTAATAAAATAAAGTCACAAACTGCATAATGGAGCAAAGATTGGTCTCCTAAATCATTCTTTGATCATTGCCAAAATTGTTTGTATGTGTTTTGGATGTCAGGACAGGAAAGGTGGACTTCATTGTTACTGATGTGTTAAAGTTGCCACTTAATAATAAACAGCAACTATAACAGTAGGTGGATTTGGTCAAAATCTTTTCGTGCATTTCCTTATTAAGAGTTAATGTAACAAGTTTGAACCTGGACAAATCCTTAATCTATCGTTATTTGAACGGTCCTTTTGGAGGGTTATACAGGTGAAAGTTTAGTGCTGTAGTTAACAAATGGGATGAAAATACCAGTTTAGCCTTGATATCAGTTTAGGCTAAACTGGCCTTGTTTCTGCGCTAAACTTTCTAACAAAATAGAAAGACATAGGCATCCAGCTATCCCCATAGCTGGCCTTCCAGAGATTCTGAGGAGAGAAATTTTGTTTAAAAAAAANTTCTATTGTGAACTAAATGCAAGTTAGAGTTCACGTACAAAATTATAAAGTGATATAAATCATTAGTAAATGTTGATACACCACAGAAATGGAGTGTACTAATAAATTAAAAAGTAAGTGTTACACATTGAAATGCTTCAAACTCAAATCAGGAATTGGATGGGCTTACGTTGTTGAACTATACAAAGTATGGAGGTACTTTCACGTATCCCAGGGCAGCAGAACATTATTCAGAAACTCCCAGACAGAACAAGCTCAAGGTGATTCCAAAGGACAATTTTAAAACTGATACCAGAAAGTTTTATCTTGGGTGGTGCAGAGTGAACCTTGGGATGAGCTGGCTCCACATTCTTGAACGTTCTTGGCAATGTAATGTTGGAATTAAGTCAACTCTTTGTGATGGTCTCAGTAATCCAAGTTCCTGAGCCAAGTGGCACTGCTAGTTACAGGCAATCTGTCAGTCTAGCCCATCTATGGCTGTGGAGGAATTGTACCCACTCAGCTCCTATGAAACACCGCAACCCAAATGGTATGGTCGTTTGAGCTGGACAAGCAGCAGGAAACTTACCGGAATGTGCTCTTAATAGCAAGTTATTTGGTTTTAGCTAGTTAAACTCCAGCAGTATTCCAGTCCATACCTCAAAGTGTTAGCTCTTACCAGCATGCACCTAATGCTTTCCAGAATTGGGTAACCATGGTACGTCTTCCATGGAGAGGATGAGCATTTCATTCTAGACACAAATTTCCATGTGTAGATTGCATACATATGTAGAACTGTAATTTGATTACTCTTAAGCATGGTGTCAGAAATCTGTCTGACCCCCCCCAAAACGACTAGAGCATCTAATGCGCATGAAAGGTTTATCATTAGCATGTCAGATGCTACCATGTCATCTTTCAGTAGCAGGAATGCAAACCGAGTCTGAGAAATTGTCATTCATTATTTCGTCAACATCAAAGATCCAATGAGACATCAGATAATATGTGTCAATCTGGCTCAATCTCCCATCTCCAAGTCAGATGATTGTCGATTCAAACCCCATGTAATAATAATAATCCTTGCATTTGATATAGTGCCTTATCATGTCTTCGAGATGTCTCAAAGCAGTTCACCAAATACTGTAAAGTGAATTGACTATATAGGCGAAACCTGGCAGCCAATTGCGCACAGCAGTGTCCCACACACAGTCGTGGATTGAGTGACCACTTTTTGAAGGGATTATTACCCCCAGAAAAGCGAACTGCCAATTGACTAACAACTGGGTTCCTACTTACTGCTTGGTTAAACAGGCTTGTGGAGTAAGGAAACTTGCTCAACTTTTCGCCCTGTCCAGGAATCGAACCAAAGTCCTCTCGCTTTAAAATTCTGAAGGAATAGATAATATAGACTACGATAACCTGTTTTAGCTTGTACTGAGCAGTAGAACCAGAGGACAGGCCTGCAATTCAGAGCCAATCTGTGAAAACACTATGAATGAGTAATAAACTTACGGAACAGGCTCCTAAGGGAGAAAATGTTTTTCAAGAACAAATTAGATAGATTTCTGCTAGAAAATAATATCATGGGATACAGTAAATAGTTTGGGACACCGCATGTCAAGCGACTGCCAGGATGGTGGAAGGTGAACTGGATGGACCTTGGTCTTCTTTCACATAGCAAATTCTTATGTTCTCTAACCACTAAGCTACAGGACTCCACAAATCTAAGGTGACACTGCAATATCGGACTGAGGGGGGTGATGCATTTTCTGACATGCCGTCCTTTGATGAAACATTAAACCGAGGCCCATCTGCCTGTTCAAGTAGGCATTTAAAAATGGTTATTTGGATTGAAAAGAAGAGTTCCTCGATGCTGCTGGTTAACAATGCTCCAAAATCAAATTGATCAAGTTTCTCTGTTTGCGGGACATTGCTGTACACAATTGGGTTGCCACATTTGCCAACAAATACACAATCACTCCACAGTAAATCCTGTGAAGTACTTTGGAACATCTTCCCAAAGCAAGGAATATTGTTTTTATAAAAGATGAATGCTTTTCTCCAGGCCAACAAACTTCCTGATTAATTGTTCATTAATTTTGTGATTGCTCATGGAATTTTGTTGGCACAGATGGTCTCCAAGTTTGCCTACAAAAACAGTCTGCATTTGACAGTAATTACCTTGGTACTGCTTTTAGACATTATTTCCTCCTAAAAATACACAATTTTATTGGGATTAACTTTAGAACACACATATAAAGTTATAGTCCTGTTGTTGACTGCCAACACTTTCTTGAGCTAATTAAATTGTTCTGAAAATGTGCAATCTTCTGTTTGAGATTATGGTTGTATGTTATATGGACTTTGAGTATAATGGTAATAGAAGTGGGCCCTGATTTTATAATATACAATTAATAATGTAGATAATTATATTATTTGAAATGTACATTTTTTGGAGAACATTTGAAGCTGCGTAAAAAGTTAATGCTGCTTTTAAACTTAATTGAAACCACATTGTGGTTGGATCCAGCAAGACGGCATTATATGAAACCTACAAACTGGAAGATCTACAGGATTACGTCGTTCTAGAGACCAAATGTTTAACTTTGACATCCATTCACTTAATACTGTGGAACTTTGCTACGTGACGACAACAGCATTGGTAAAGTAGAATTCCAAACTTTGTGAAAACGGCTTTGTAACCTGTTTGGTATGAGAATGTTCTTAATCAAATGGAAACGGCTGTAATAGCATTTGTCCTGGCATGGCTTGTGTATAAAATTTCAGCCAATAAATATTTTAGTAACACCAGTGAATATTGTGTTGAGCTGTGACTTAGAATGCATTAGTACTATCAGCATACAATACTTTAACTTTAAGTTTGATAGTCTAAACAGTATTTCAAAAAAATATAGATGTCTTGGAATTGAATAGTTTTAAAACATCACCACTATTTCATTTCTGTGTTTCCCACCAGTGTAGCAATAGCCCATGGGGCATTACATCTGTCACCTCCCCTCCCAGGCTTATGTAAAGAACCCCATTTGATGGCAGATAATGGTTTCTGAAATGGGACTATAGTTTTATTAATGTGCAAGTGAAGAAAATTCTCACTATTTTGCTGGTGTGTGTTCAATGATCTGTGTTTTCAACATCAGAGGCAGCTGCAAATCTGCCATTTGGTTCCAACCGTTACTGCCCTCCAATGTGATGGTCTACTTGTTGATGCATTGGGTGTAAATGCAACAGATATATTTAGCATTGTCGTGTTTTCTTGAACCTTAAAAGCTAGAGAGACCAAGGACACGATAAATTGAGGGTTAAATTTTATAATAAAATTTGTGCCACAACTTTCTTAAACTTTCTTAAAAAGGACCAGAGGGAAATAACAACAACCATTTTATATTGCATCCTTTATGGGGGATATTGACTTGGAATGCTTGACAAGGGTGGGTTCGGAATCCCGAGCAAGGAGCAAGTTTTATTGAAGAGGCAGAGTTTTTTTGGCAGCATTTAAAGATGGAGAGAAGGTGTGAGATGGAGGGGAAGATAGAGGGAAATGCAAAAGTTAGAAGCATAGTTGTAATCCTTGCATTTGTTATAGCGTTTTTCACATCTTCTAGATGTATCAAAGCACTTCACAGAATATGCTGTAAAGTGAATTGACCGTAGATTTGTGGGCAAAATGCAGCAGTGTCCCACAAACAGTTGTGGATTGAAAATGACCACTTTATTACTGTTTTTTTGGAGGGATTATTATTAGGCGTGTGGAGTAAGGAAACTTGCCCAAGGTTTCGCCCTGCCTCAGTTGCTAAAGGCTAAGTCACCACTGGTGATCCAGAGGGTAGGGACATGTAGCAGGCTGTGTTAGCCTTGCAGAAGGGGTTAATAAAAGAGTGAGATAGGAGAAGATCACGGAGAAAGGAGGTTCTTGAGTGTGAACTGATTTATAAGAGGGTGAGAAGTTTTAAGATGATCTGTTGGGAGCTAGTGCTGTTGTTTTACAGCCTTATTCATTGCTAAAAATAGCCTATGATTCAAATAAGATTATAATCTTCCTGGTATTTATCTTCAATAATTAACTAAGTCCTGTAGCTCAATGGTGAGAGGACTTGTCTCGCAAGTGAGAGTCCTGAGTTCGATTCCAGGCAGGGCAGAATGTTTCCTTACTCCACACGCCTCTCTTTACCTAGCAGTAAGTAGGATCCCAGTTGGTAGTCGATTGGCGGATCGCTTTTCCTGGTTAATAATTTCTTCAACAAAATAAAGTAAATTGGTCACTCAATCCATGTGGGACACTGCTGTGCCCAATTGGCTGCCGCGTTTCATCCACAAAATATACTTTCACTTTCAGTATATTGTGAAGTGCTTTAAGACGTCTCAAAGACGTGATCAGGTGCTATATCACATCCAAGGATGATTTTTATTATAAGTTGACTCAGAAACCTTGGTTAGTCATTTTCTAACTATGATGATAACAACTCAATAATCTGAATTGAATGTAGCAAGCTTCAAAATAGCATTAATAATATGAACATTCATTTTAAATTGCAATAACGATTTGCATTTATATCATGCCTTTGAAGAGGACATTTCAAAGAGCTTCACACGGCTGTCTGGGAGCCCAAATGGGGTTGTGGAAGGTGACCGAAACGTAGACCAGCATAGTTAAAATAAATGTTCAGAATCAAGATATTAAGATTGGTTAAAAGGCTATGGGGGAAAAGTCAAGCGAGTAAATGGATAGCATCTTAAGAGAGACAGCACAGGCACAATGGCTCAAATCAGCTCTGTACTCTAAGATTCTACAATTCAATTTCTTCACTAAACAGCTGTTTAATTCCCTCTTCAATTTAGTGACAGCATCAACCAACTTTCTGGATAGTCAACTTCATATATTTACCACTGTAGATAAAGTTTTGCCAAGTATTTTAAATAATGCTCATCTTCCCTCTTCGAAGTTTGAGAGCTTGTTACTAAAGATCTTTTTGCCATGTTAAACATATTCTTAGGGTTCAATCCATTTTAATAGATAGAATAGATAATTAATAGATTGATTTAAAAAAAACATTTTTGGGAGGTTTCAATCATTATTCCTTAATTAATGGATCAAAGATCAGCAGATATGAAGAAATAACAAAATGAAATGTTCTTTATGTTGCTTGAAAGCTTCTCGGTATACTTTGACCCTTTTGGATTACGTTTGTAACTTTATACTTTGTTGAGCTGTCAGGGCTATTTACATATACATTGTACAATCTGACAGCATCCATTTTAGGTATTCTATTTTTATCAGAGAACAAAGTACACACAAAACTGCAATCACATTGGTAGTTGTATAAGACAGAGTTAGGTAAACAAAGCATCACCATTGGCAACGTGTTTATATTTAATCTCCAGAGCTCTAGTAATGTGCAGTGGTCTTTTCAATTAAAAATTCCTGTTTCTGACAATAAATTGCTTTGATTCTGCAGCAAAACATGCTAAACCCTCTTTTTTTAATAAAAATTCAAATTGAATTTAAATGATCTTGGCATTGGAAATTTGGAAGAATAGTTGCCAGCTTTCGGAAATCAATAAAAAAAAATTCCACGGTTCTGAACGCAATGCGCTTACGTCAACAGGGCAATAAAGGCTGACGTTTAATCTAGTGCTGAGGTAAAGTGTGAATCGTGTCCACACCCAAGGTGGGATACAAAGAGGCACAAGCACAGTGACAATTAGATTTTTTTTTAACAGTTGAAGGATTTATTTAGAAGTGCTGTTCACCTTCAAAAAAGAAAATGGGTTGGGGGAAGAAAATCAAGTTTGCAGTGTTTGAAGTCCTGGAGTTTCTTGCTTTGTGTATTCCCACAATTGTTATTGCAGAGCGACTTGCCTCCATTTTGGATAAACAGAGACCATACCAGGTTGTCTTGGCCTGTTCAGTTGCGTATGTTGCATGCGCAGCTTTGTTCGTCTGGGTTCCAGTGAAGTTTCTGATGTTCAAGAAGCGCATTCTATCCAATGTGAAAGAATGGTAGGTGTTTACGAATACATGTGTAATAACTCACAGGCTTAGTATGTCTGGGCATTCTCCGCTCCAACAAATTCAATTGAAATCCTGTAAAAATAAGACTGAATGAACAACTCGGGGGATAAGACAAAAATCCTGGATGAGATTTAATTGACTGATTCTCAGGATATGGGTGATAATGAATGTATTCCTAGTTTTCCTGTAGAAGTGGTGATGGCTCTTCTTTTTAAATTGCTTGGTATGTTTGTCTCATAAGTGGAAATGTTTTTGTCTACAAAGTACCACACAGTTGAATGAGTTAGAAATACCTGTGTTGAATCCAGGTTAATATACTTTCAGATTAAATATATTTAATACTTTCATTTGCCAGAATGCTAACTAAAAATGAACCCAGGTCCTAATGTGATTTGGGTATTAGGTCAGTCCAAGAGAGGAAGGACGGGGTGCTACGAAGGCAAAAACAGAAGTCGCTGGGAACACTCAGCAGACTTCTAAAGACGTATTGCTCTTCTCTTCGACAGTGTTGCCAGCAACTTCTGTTTTTGTTTTCAGATTTCCAGCATCTGCAGTATTTTGTGTTTTGCTAAGGAGGCAGCTATGTACGTGTAGCTACTTGTGGTACAAAGTTTCACTAACTAATACAGAATACCTGTCATTTTTTTTAAGTACAACTGCTCTTTAATAACATTAAAAGGTGCTGAGGATCTTACTCAAAAACTTTAAACTGAATATTTGTTGAATTTTCAAATGTGTTTGAAATTGGCTTTGGTATAATGTAAACCTTGAGAATGAATACAACAACAACAAAATTACATTTGTGTGGCGCCTTTCACGTCAGGAGGACATCCCAAGGCGCTGGACAGTCAGAGTTTCGGACCCGAGCTGGGGGTGGGGGAGGGTGGAGGGTGGAGGGGGGAAGCAGGGAGATCGCAAGAGGAGAGTCTTGAGGTGGGTCTTGAAGTGGGCGAGGGAGGGGGCGTGACGGAGAGACTGTGGGATGGAGTTCCAGAGGGTGGGTGCAGAGTGGTGGAAGGCCCGCACGCCGATAGTGAGGCGAGCGAGGCGGGGGACGTGAAGCAGGCCGGAGCCCGCTGAGCGGAGGGAGCAAACAGGATGGTAGGGAGTTAGGAGGTCGGAGAGGTAGGGGGGAGCAAGACCGTGGAGGGCTTTGAAGGTGAGGACCAGGATCTTGAACTGTATCCTCTGAGTGATGGGAAACCGGTGGAGTTGGGCGAGGATAGGGGTGATAGGTTCACGAAGCCTGGTGCGGGAGAGGACACGGGCTGCAGTGTTCTGGATGATCTGCAGTCTGTGGAGGGAGGAGTTGGGGAGGCCGACAAGCAGTGAGTTTGCATAGTCGAGCCTCCATGTAATGAAAGCATGTTTGAGGGTTTTGGCGGCCTGTGGTGTGAGACAGTGTCGGAGCCGGGCGACGGTGAGGAGGTGAGGGAAGGCAGAGCGCGTCATGGCTCAAATGTGGGGTAGAAAGGATAGTTGAGGGTCGAACAAGACCCCAAGGTTCTGGACTGGCTTAGCAAGGTGGAGTGTGCATCCATGGATGGTGATACTGTCAGCGCCTGAGGTGAGGAGGCGCTGACGGGAGGAAATCAGGAGGGCCTCGGTCTTGTGACATTCAACTGAAGGAAGTTGAATGGGGAGCACTATTGGCAAAATTACCATTCCACGATCTTCTACTCGTTGAAATAGTTTAATATGTAAGGCACTTGATACAGTAGTAATGGCAATAATCCTGGAAATGCTGAACTCCTGTAGTCCAATGACTCTCTGTCTTTGTGTTTTAGGCAGCCAGTTTTACTCCTGCATTTGGTTCTCACAACACTGCCTTGCTTTGGGTTTATAATCGCAGGTTCACAGGTAATGCTGCATAATTATTTGTTGTTTACATCTCTGTATCCAGAAATCAGACAACGTTAGGAACTAGAATGTTCTTCACTCTCACTGGTAAATGACAACCAGTGTTCAGATCGTTCGAGAGGGGATGGTCAAAATTAATTTCTTCAACACGGTTTATTCTTTAATTAAGGAGCATTGTTAAAGTGTGTTTTAATATTCCCCTCCTCTGTCCCAACACTCCTGGCTCCAGTACAATGCTGGTTGTACCCTGCAATGTCAGATGTGCCACCCGTCAGATGAGTTGTTAAAATTTGACTATCTTAGTGTTTTCTGCTGATTTGTCTCTTGTCTTCTCAACAGGTACAAGGAACCACCGAACCACACAAAAACTACTTTGATATCCCCATATCCGTTGTCATAACAAGCCTGATTCTTGTGAGCATCATTGAAAAGCTTTGCAAATGGCCACTCACTGGAACACTAATATGTAGGTACAGTAATTGAAGTCTCACATGCATGATTGATCTTGTTTGAAACAGCAGCTAACAACACTGCATTATGAATTAACCAACATAGCTAATGACTATTGTGAACATACAACTAATTAAAATAGCAAAATATTTCTCTATGTGTTAGAATGCAGTATCAATCACAGTATAACGTTGTACCTCTTCAATTGAGTATGCACCATGGAATTTAAAAATAACTCCAGGTCCAGCTTTGTAAATGCACTTAATTTATTCAGGGCTTGAAATCTACCTTGATTGGTTTGCAGAGAGGCAAGGAGCTGCTGTTCAAGCTTCTCACCTCCATCTGGCGGAACCATCACTCAAAGGGAAGGGACGTGGGTTCAAGCTGTGGGCAGGAAGATGGTGTCAACTCTCACACATTTTATCCTGAGTTGTGTTGCCCCCCAGGAAGCTCACAGAAAGTTCCTGGTACTTGCCATCCACCTAGTAAAGGCACAAACCTGTGCTTGTTGGATGTCAAATGATTAACTAGTGGCTATCCTCCTTGGAGGGAAAGTAAGCTGGGTCTCCTTGGAGCTAAACTGCCTCGAATGTGATATGTTTGGTAAGGAATGATAGAATTGAGTCAATGCTCTGTGACGGACTCGATCGTCTGTTGGGTCTGTAGTAGTCCAGGGCACTGCTGAGGACAGGTGAACGGCCTGACTCATTCGCAGGACTTCGAGGGGCAGGGGCTGGGTTTCTTCCCATTCAGACCCTGTTAATTCTTCAAACCAAAGCCCTTAAGGGTAGGGTGGACAAGCAGTGGGAAAACTGGCCAGACAGCATTTTCAATGGCAAGCTATGTGGATTTAACTGGTTAATTCCAGCAGTACTCAAATGCACACTCTGGAGTCCCCAATCCTTGGCTCTTGCCAACCTGTACATAAAAATAAAGAGATTATCCGGCTGATCCTCAGTGTTAGAATAGACAAATTGTGTTTCAACATATTAAAGTAACGTGAAATAAAAAGAAAAAAACTTTGGCCAAACTACAGCTTAAAATTTTACTTAAATTGTTTCAAATGTGCAGCACAATTTATTATGTTTTCCTAATATAAATATATTAATGTATTATCTTTATTAGCTGCCTTGCTTTTCTGTATATGGCATCTTTGAACATCTCTTATGCAACTGACGTAATTGAGCTGAATCAGTCTTCATGAAGTGTAACCTTCATGATGCTGCATATCATTTACTAGAATATAGTGCATTTCCTTTATGATTTTACACATTAGAATTTGCTGTTTAATTCACTGTCATATTTGTTATGGAAATGGATATTAATCTTGTTGCTTTGATTCGATGTCACGTTACAATACTAATAATCCTTACATTTGATATAGCACCATTCATCTCAGTTGAACGTCTGAAACAGCTTCACAGAGCATACTGTAAACAACAACTTGCATTGATAAAACACTGCTCATGCAGGATAGTGTCCCAGAGTATTCGACAGTGGCGGAGCATGATGCCGAGCCACTGGGTAGGTGTCTGTAAGCTCCCTCACTCTCCAATCCCTCCGCCTTGCCACATCTCTCCTGTTTTTCAAGTCCTGCCTGAAAAACTTCCTCTTCAACTGTGCTTACGGTCACCTTCCCCCACCCCCCTGGCTTGGAGTCAGGCTCCGCCACTGCTAAGCGTTATGAGATCTTACCCTGCGTGGAGGCACTATATAAGTGTAAGTTTTTGTTGTTGTAAGCACATCGAAGAGGATGCTCTTCAGGCGCAACCTGAAGATAGGGAAGGAGGGGGGCAAGACGTAGGCATAGATAGAGGGAGAGTGTTCCAGAGTTTTGGAGCATAAAGTTTAGTAACTGTGTGTTTTGTAGGCAAACGCGGCAGCCAATTTGCGCAGAGCCCAATGACTAATTTTATTTTGTGTTACACTGCATATATGGCCGACTTAAAGCACAAGACGGGCAGGGAGAAGAGATTTTCACCAAAGTGTTATCAGTTGAGCATAATATGGTTGTGGGTTTGCTTTTGATCCCTCCTTCCTATTAGTTTCTATAAATGCCTCTGAGAGGAGTGCTAAGTAACCATAAGTGAAACAATGAGAGGGACAATTGAGGGTTTGCCTCCAAGTCGAGCAGGACAGCAATGGTCCTGGAATCGAGGGGCAAAGAGATAGAGTTGGGTGTTTTCCTTATACATATGAAAGTTAATGCAGATACCATTGCCATGTGGGAACATGTAAATATTAAAGAGAGCACCGAGGATAGATCCCCGAGGAATGGCTTGAGGACGGGAGGAGAAGCCGTTGGCAGATATGAATTGGAGACAATGGGATAAGTAAGAATGAAAGTGAGGAAAGGATGTGGCAAAGAATACAATGGTTGCCAATGTCGAAGGCAGAAATTAGGTCAAGAAGGACAAGGAGGCTGAGAGAGCCCTGATCACATATTAGAGAATATCATCTGTGACTTTTTACCAGGATAGATGCAGTATCACTTTTGAATAAATCTTATGAAGCACTTTGAAAGATCTTCCCAACACCAACATTCACTTCAGCACTTGCTACAGGACATCGCTGCATGCATTTTGGCTGCTGTGTTCACCTACAAATTAATCTCTACCCTCTAATAAAATCCTGTGAAGCTCTTTGAAATGTTTTGTTGACACAGAGCAACATCAAATGCAACGATTATTGTATTCCGGATTTACTAATGCTATTGATATATTCCACAGCTAATCATGTGAATGTGATTTTCGCCAATGGACCTGTGCTCACAAACATAGGAGGGGTGTCAAATGTGTCCGGGGAAATGGCCAGATCACCGGAACAAATTGCAACAGCTGCAGGAGTGGTTGAGAATGGATCTGTACCACCTGCTGAAGAAATAACTTCAAGACCTCAACGTGAATCTGTAACAAGTTCACATCCAAATGCCATCATGAACGATAGCTCAGAATGTAAACTGCCCAAGTCTCTTAAAATCCTAGCTGTGAAGGACTGCAGAGCTGAAATATTTGTGACCGCATTCATGACCTGGATGGATACCATAGAGTTACTAAGAGTTGCAGACGTTCCAGCTGTGAACAAAACAGGATGGATTTACCCCATTTATATTTTCGGCTTCATATCACTTTTAAGAATAATTATAAATTCAGAAAATCCCTTATGCGATACTCTGGGGGTAATCGCACAGGACTTTCCATTCATTTTTATTCGGATCAGTTTAATTGCAGTGTACGGATTTGTGACTCCTGTTCTATATCTATTGAAAAATATTATTGTCGTCACAACTTATCTCTACTTCAACTTCTTGAGAAAGCTAAGAATTTTTGATCACAGCCAGCAGGACTTCTAATAGTGGGGCCCAATTATTTGAACTGTTTACTCCCCCTCCCCATATTGAAGGCACTTAATATATAAACATATATATATTTCTTTGGCATTGGGATGAGACTGCCTGTTGGAGAACCATGGAGTGAATGATATATTTGGTTGAGTTCCCAGTAAAAGCTGCATTCCGGTGGGACAGTTACTTTGCAACACACACCTCCGCACAGCAAGAATGAAAATCCCTAGGCCTTTCTCGCACATCTAGATGGATTAGAATACATTAAAATACGCAGCACAGAAACAGGCCACTTGGCCCAATTGGACTATGCCGATTGACTCAGTACAACAGTCAGTGAATGGATGCCTGTTCACTTTCTCAGCAGCAGGTAGCAAAGGAAATCACAGTGATTGGGGATGAACAGAAAGATTTTCATAATGGTGATGATAGCGAATATATAAGTACAATGTCTACTTAACCACATGAAAATATTGAGGGTCCGAAACATGGCATTTGTATGTAAGTGGGAAGTTATGTAGATTTTTCATGCCAGTAAATCGAAACCTGTCATGCTTACCAACGGACAGGAATTCTACTTCTGTCTACTTCTGGAGTAGAGTTCCCACAGGTTTATGTGACGAATTCTAGCTACCAGCCTGCTCCACTATTTGCAGCTCAACAGTCACTTTTTCTGACTTCCTATTATCAACAACAACTTGCATTTATATAGCGCCCTCCACGCCGGGTGACGTCTCAGAGCGCTTAACAATGGCGAGCCTGAGGCCGAGCCGGGGAAGGGGGAAGGTGACTATAGGCGTGGTCGAAGAGTAAGGTCTTCAGGTGCAACTTGAAGATGGATAAGGAGGGGGCGAGGTGAAGGGGTTGAGGGAGGGAGTTCCAAAGTTTCAGGGTGTAGTGGCTGAGGGCACGGTTACCAATGGTGGAGTGGAGGATTCGGGGGACACGCGAGGAGGCCGGACCCAGTAGAGCGGAGGCAGTGAGTTCTGCTGTGGAGAGAGAGAAGGTCAGAGAGATAGGGGTTGCCAAGGAATGGAGGGATTTAAACACTAAATATATAATTTTAATATATCATCCTAGTGATGGGAAATAGATAATTTTCTTAAATCTTGGATTCTTTCCACACTTTCCCACCAAAATCATCAGCTGCCCCCAAACCTCATGCCCCACATTCCCTGTACATTTCAGTGTCATACTAGAACTGCGTGACCTTTCCATTTCTCAATTTACCCTTGAGAAACCCCCTCCCCACACCCCCCACCTGCAAACCAACTATTGAATACAGCGGCACAATGTATAATGCGGGGATTCTGTGTTGTAATAGTATATAGAGAGGAAGTTCAATTGCAAAGCGATACCATTTGTTCTTTCACTCATGTGAGTCAGATTTGGGTCGAAAAGTTTTTTTGATTAGCTGGTTGTGGTTTGCAGACTATGAAAATTATAAATTGGAGCTTCTGCAAACATAATTATCAAATCATTCCAGTAAAACTGAACTACCTTAACAGAAAGGCCTTTTAAGACGTCCTCCTGATGTGAAAGGCGCTATACAAATACTATTTGTTGTTGTTGTTGTTGATGTTGCCTGATGTGTGGAAACTCATCACCATGCTAAAGGGTAACCAAACCAAATTGAAAGTTCCATGCAGCCCATCTACACTTGGACATTCCTGTCCAAAGGTAAAGAACAATATTCTGAAGATACGAACGCTCTAATCAGTGAGCAACAATAATTTAAATTCTTAGCATTTTATTAGTTACACAATCTATTGATTGTAAATATTTGTGATCTTTGTTTTGTCGAGCACTATAGGTTCTGAGGATGTGAAGCTTAAATAATAATAATTCTTGCATTTGATATAGTGCTTTTCACGTCTTCTAGACGTCTCAAAGCGCTTCACAGAATATGCTGTAAAGTGAATTGACTGTATATTTGTAGGCGAAACGTGGCAGCCAATTGTGCACAGCAGTGTCCCACAAACAGTCGTGGATTGAAAATGACTAATTTTTTTTGTTTTGGAGGGATTATTATTGGGCGTGTGGAGTAAGGAAAGTTGCTCAAGGTTTCATGCTACCTGGAATTGAACCCAGGTGTCTCGCTTGCAAGGCGAGTGCTCTAACCACTGAGCTACAGGACTCCACTTAAAGTTCGTTGTGTTAGATTTTATGGAGTTGTTCTTGCTTCTCAGTCTCAGGATGCATTAAATATGAATTAAAATAATGTTTTCTTTCACAAACTGCAAACTGTTTTACAGAACATGAAAATGATAAGTTGAATCTTCTACAAACATGGTTATCAAAGCATTCCAGTAAAACTGAACTACTGTAACAAAGTAATAAATTATACAGAAGTGTCACCCATGTTCACAGACCATTTAAACATTGCAATACTTCTCACATTCAGGCTAGAGAATGTATAATTTATTAGAATTAAAACAGTTTATATTCCTCTGGTTGCACAGTTGTATCCCATGATCAGGCTTGATTTATTCATTGCTCAGAGGCAATCTTTGCAGTATAATATCGTAATGCAAGGCATGACGTACCATATGTTGATTAGAAACACTTTGTTTTCTATATGCACATGTATGAAGGATCTTGATTCTTTACTAAACAAATTTGCTAACTTACACATAAAATTTTTTTGAATGCAAATAAAACAAACTTTAAAACAATCACATCATGTGCTTTCTATTTCATGTTGAAAAGTAAATAGTGCAGGTAGTGAAGGAATCCAGCCTGCTCCTGTACTCCAAGCTGGGCAGGAGGATGAATCTATGGCCTGAGAGTAAGCCACATGGGCCATTTCCATTCCTGGAGTTACATTAAGCAGTGCACTGAATGTAGGTGTCAGAGCCCAGAGATGGCATCCGTCTTGCCTCCTTCTCTTGCTATCTTACCTTCTATTGTCATACCTTTCTCCTGCCATTGCCTTCCTTCCTTCCTTCCTTCCTTCCTTCTCCTCCTGCCATCTTGCCACCTCCTTTTCCTGCCGCCTGCAGCAATCATACATCACCCTCCACAAGCTGACATGCACTGCCAATCATGTACCACTCATAACTCCTTCAGAACAAGTACAAAAAAATGACATTACACACGATCACGAGAAGTTCGGTTCAAGGAGATCGTTTAGCCTGTTTGATCTTATTCATCCAGAATTCTCACCTTTCTGTTTTCCCACTACGGCATCAAGCTGTTTCTTGAATTAGTCCGGTGTCCTGTCTGATCAAAGAACCAGCTCAAATGCTCAAACCATAACATCTAATATGCAGAAAAAACATCAACAGTTCTTACCTCAAAACATTCGGGAATTAAAATGAGAAGCTGTTTTTCCAAACTCTCCAGGACTCCACTCCCTGTTCTTGCTGTTTAACAAGTGTGGTCCCAAATATTCTTGTTAGAATCATATTGCCTTCAAATTTAAAAACATGTGAAATTTTCAAAAATTGTCTTAATTTGAAAGCTGATTTTCCAGAGTTTGATTTGGATACTTTGCAAAACCAACTTCCAAATTTAGATTCTTTAAAACTATCTGCACAAATTCTGCACATCCTTAACTATTATAACACTGGTCTGAAGCTAATGAATATGAGAAATTTTGGACCTCAGAAGTAGAAAGGATAATTTTCTTTGCTTTCTCAAACATCAACCTTGGGACTTTGTTTGCGAATCTAACAAAATTATAAATAATGGCAATAATAATTGATAATGAAACTCATTGAGATTAAATAATAATCCTTGTATTTGATTTAGCTCCTTATCACATCATTGAAGCTTCTCAAAGCACTCCACAGGATTATACTGTGTAGCGTAGTGACTGTAATTGTAGGTGAAATATAAGACAATATATAACATAATCCTATTATGAGTGTATAATCTGCAACACTCGTAAAAAGATTTTACGACAAGAAGTCGAAATTAAAGGCGCTATATCTGAATGCACGAAGCATTCGTAATAAGATAGTTAATTAACAGCACAAATAGAAACAAACGGATATGATCTAATAGCCATTACTGAGATGTGGTTATAAGGGAATCAAGGATGGGGCTAAATATTCTGGGGTATTCAATGTGGAAAATGAGGTGGGGGTGGGTGGGGTTGGGGGGGTAGCTGTGTTAATAAAGGATGGGATAAAAACAGTGGAGAGGAAGAATTTTAAATCATAAAATCAGGATGCAGAGTCAGTATGGGTGGAATTACGAAATAACAAGGGCCAGAAAACACGAGTGGGAGTAGTTTATAAACCCCCAAACAGCAGTCACAGTATTGCGCAGAGTATTAACCAGGAAATTATAGAAGCATGTAGCAAAGGAAATACACTAATAGTGGGTGATTTTAATCTTCATATAGATTGGGAAAACCAAATTGGCAAAGGTAAGTTAGAGTAGGAGTTTATAGAATGCATTAGAGATAGTTTTCTAGATCAGTATGCTGAGGAACCAACCAGGGAACAGGCGATCCTAGATCTTGTTTAATGTAATGAAATAGGGCTAATATGCAATCTGGAAGTTAAGGCTCCTCTAGAGGAGAGTGATTGTAGCATGATGGAATTTAGCATTAAGTTAGAGAGTGATGTAGTTAAGTCCGAAGCAAGGGTCTTAAATTTAAATAGAACCAACTTTGCAGATATGAGAGGATTTAGCTAAAATAGCCTGGGGAAATAAATTAAAGGATATGAGTAGACCAGCAATGGCAAACCTTTAACGATTTAGTACATAACTCCCAGTGATCACATATTCTCTTGAGGAATAAAAATACCACGGGAAAAGTGGTTCAACCATGGCTAACTAGAGCAGTTTAGGGAAAGTATAAAATTAAAAGAAGAAGTCTATAATATCGCCAAAAAGAACAGTAGACCTGAGAATTCTGAGGGCTTCAGAAACCAACAAAGAAAGACTAAGAAACTGATTAAGAGGGAGAAAATGGATTATGAGGGCAAACTAGCTAGGAACATAAAGACAGACTACAAGAGTTTTTGCAAATACATTAAGAGGAAGAGACTAGCAAAAGTGAAAAGTCCATTACAGGCAAAGACAGGAGGAATTATAATGGAGGATCAAGATATGGCAGAATCCTTAAACAAATATTTTGCTTCTGTCTTCATGTTAGAAGACACGGAAAACTTACCAATAATAGAGGGGAATCAAGAAGCTAATATTAGTGAGCAACTTAGGGAAGTTAACATCAGTAAAGAATTAGCACTAGGGAAACTGTTGGGATTGAAAAATGACAAATCCCCTGGACCTGATGGCCTGCATCCTAGGGTTTTAAAAGAGGTGGCTGCTGAGATAGTGGATGCCTTGTTTTTGATCTTCCAAAATTCTCTGGATTCTGGAACGGTTCCCATTGATTGGAAGATCACAAACGTAACATCACTATTTAAGAAGGGTGGGAGAGAGAAGATGGGAAACTATGGACCAGTCAGTCTGACCTCAGTGGTAGGGAAGATTCTAGAGTCCTTAATTAGGGACGTCGTAGTGGGATACTTAGAGGACCATAACATGACTCGGCAGAGTCAACATGGTTTTACAAAAGGGAAGTCATGTTTAACAAATCTTTTAGGGTTTTTTGAGGATGTAACAAGCAGGTTAGATAGGGGGGAACCAGTAGATGTAGTATATTTAGATTTTCAGAAGTCGCTCGACAAGGTGCCACATAAACGATTGCTACACAAGATTAGGGCACATGGAATTAAAGGCAATATATTAGCATGGATCGAA